TTGCTGACATTTTGCTTGTGGAACCATTTCTCCATTTTTAAACATAAATGAACATTAAAAGACTCATGGTGGTTCTGACAAATGGACAAAATGACTTATTCTGTAGGCCGTAGTGTTGCTTGTTGAAAACATTATGAGCATGCTGGGTGGATGCAACCATGGGATATAGTAAAGCTGGGCGACAGAGGGAACATTAGGTCATGCATATTAATACGACAAGAAACTAAACCCGCTGGGAAAAGATGTAAAGAGACAGTAAATGGGATTGCTTTGGAGCATAAGAACAAGTAATGACTTCATTAAGAACCAAGCACTATATATGCCTAATGTGCTGCAAGGGATGAAGATATCTGTATAATGCAAAGAATCAATTTTTCAGTAATAAGTTGTAGAAAAGAGGATTCCATTAAAAACTAAAAGATTTTCTTCCTTTCTTTATCTATCTCTTAAACTATCTCTTTCCATTACCTCCGTATCTCTGTCCATCTGCCCATTTATAGCCCACTCTACACCACTTTAGGAGGAAAAATTCCTGAGCTCAGTGTGTTTTCAGACACTGTCCACAGCAGTGTTGGTGGATCCAAAATAACCCCTCCCTGTTTGCGAGAGAGGAGTGATATCAAAGCAATCTTTTTGGCTGCACTTAAGAGGCCTTCGCCGGCTCTAACTGACCTTTCTCTTCACAGATCGGATGATTTAGAACACTGAAGGAGGAAGAAGTTAGGGGGCAATAACTTTTATCCTACTTAGAGTTACATAAGAGGTCTTCTGCTGCACAGGTGTTGGTAAGACTATAAATGCATATTTATAGAGAGATATTCAAATAGAAAAAGTATAACAGGTACACTTTGGTTTAACTTCTTATACCTCAGTTTTTTAACTTTATCTACTGTGTAGTAATGGAATGAAATAAATCAAAGTGATGTTGCCAGAACAGATAATCCTCACATACAACTGGCTCAGGCTGCTACTTTGAAAAGAAATATTGCAATGGAATAAATAACCAAACATAATTAAATAAATGCAAACAAGTTAAAAAGGCTTCATTATGCATAAAAAGTGAAAAAAAAGCAAATTTCACTGACTGAATGATGAATAATTGTAGCCCTCACTAGTCTGTGGCAAAATTACTGGTTTGCTAAATTAGATGGTAGTTTTTTATTTTATGCCTGTGTGATTATAGATCATATGTTTTTCAAGGGTCATGGCTGATCCCTGCTAACTGCCATAACGCTATACGATCTAGTGATAGTAGCGCACAAGCTGAGTTACAAGTGAGAGTATTAGGAAGTATTTTGATCTGATCTAGCAAGTTAAAATGAGGTTGTATATCTGCTTATGTTGTATTTGGTTAAATTGGATTCCAACCAGCAAGGAGGACAGGAAGTTGACAGGCTAGCTCTGCTAACCAAGCTGGCCAGTGTTGCCAGATGGGAAATATAGAATTGTCGTACCAGGGACTCAAAATTATCGTGTTTTGGGGAAAATTATTGTATGTCTTCATAATCAAAACAACAACCTTACTGTTACATGATAGTCACATATAGTCACGCTGTTTAGTGTCCTACAGGCACTCACGCTGTTGTGGCTACAGTTTTGTGGTCATTCACCACCTCGCCCCACATCATCAGCGTGTGATCAGCAGCTCCAACTCAGCTGTGTTACACTAATGTGTCCCCTTCAAACAAATGACAGGTGGGAACTGATGAGCTAAATCATGGGATCTTGAGGTCACCTACTTTTTAGAAACAGAGAAGGAGAATAAAGAGTTATCTGACTTAACTTAGTGAAATCTATTTTAGACACAAAAATTAACTTGTCCTCTCACAAGGACTCGGCTCTCGGTAATAACCGTCCTCTTCAGCATCGCCCATTTTTCTCAACCGACTAAGCCATGTTTGTTCGGGGACAAACGTCGCTCAAACTATGGCTGGATAGAAACTTCACATGGTTAAAGATGCCTTCAGGGTTCACAAATAAAAAACTGAAAAATAAAGTGTCTGGCAAACTGAGACAGCCCTATTGCACCACACATTCACGAAACTGCCAAAATTATTGTAAATTTAGCCTTTTTCTGGACTGTTGGTCGTACATCGTACAGCGGGCAAAATTATCGTACAAATACGATCATTATCATACACCTGGCAACACTGAAGCTGTCAGTGTTTACTCCCACACTCTCTGATCCTTTGTTAAATAAATGTGTTCTGTTTCCTGAGTGTTCTTCACAAATGTACACCACTCAACTTATTCAAACACCAAACGCAACACATTTTTATTTTACTTCTTGTTTTTTTTTCTGCATGAAATCGATTTGATCTGACACTGTTCAAAAGCATAATAGTTGTTATAAAACATTAAGAGGAATATGTAATAATGAAAGAGGAAATGTCTGAGAGGTGGCAAATTAATGTCCCAGCTGAAATCAGGATCTGCCACGGCCATGACACCAGAACAAGAAGAATTCCCTGTCTGCGGCGAACAACACAGAGGAAATCTATCATTTATTGCAGCTAGCTTCTTAGTCATTCAGTTTCTCTGTTCACGTCTGAAAAGAGTGAATAAGAAAGTGGACACGGGTTATTCTGAGAATCTGTCCTGACCCCAAAAACTTGTACAAACTAATTTCTCTGCACTTATTTGCCGGGGAGGTTGTAATCACACGGATTGATTGTGTTTCAAGTGTTACTGCAATATACAGCAAGAAACCTGAGTAAGTGTGATCTGATCTACTCTGCTATAAAACTTTAAATCAAATTAGCAATGCAGCCGAAGTCATTTGCAGCCTGAGGGGTTGTTGTTTTGCCACAATTACATGTGACTTCTCCCGCCGCATGGTGAAATAAGTGCAACAACAGACGATGCTAAGAGCCTAGCATTAAAGAGGTGCAAACATGACATTTCCAGCTTGTGATTGACTGAACGCTCCTCTAAATGCTGCAGACGTCAGTCACAATGAATCTGATGTGCAGCTAGTCAGGGAGTGGCTCTACTTTTCATCTTGCATGAGGCACAGGGGCCTTAACGGGGAAGATGGACTGGCTGTGCTTATTGGGGAAGACAAGTAGTGTTCACTTGAATTTTCACAGGCCTTTGTCAAGAAGCCAGGGTGCGTTCAAAAGATTCTGCTGCTGCCTTTTTTTTTTTTTTCTTCGCAAGAGAATAATTTATTCAAGGCCTATTCAGGGAATCTGTTTGTCAACATAAGACTGAAAAGACGTATTTATAACAGAGATTAATGATAGGGATGTGTGATGAAGAAATGACAGTTATGTTGTCTTCTAAATTTTCCGTAACAATAAGCCTCTACCTGTCAACCCTGTCATCATTATATTCATAAACCAGCATTCAGCAGCTGAATAGCAGCTTGATAAACAACTATACTCTGCACTATTGCACATATTTTGAATAGGCCCAGAGCCAAAATTGCTACCAAATGCTCTTTGACTCCAAGCTGCAACAAAGAGGACAGAATGGGAGGAGTGGATTTTTTCCATGGGGCAATATTTGCAAGTCAAAGCAAAAAAATGCTCTTTTTCATCAAATCAAAGTCCTTCTACAAACCAAAACCAACCAAAAGCTTTTATTTTGTTTGATCAGTTTCTAAAATGATGGCCACAAAATCCAGAGTGAATCACTATTGCAGTCATTTCTTTTTAGCAAACAGTTGAGCTTTGGTAAATGTGTTTTATTTTTGCAGTATATGTTGTATGATTTATGAGGCAGCTTTAAGTGTTTGCTTTGTACTACACTACAGCAGGATTTTAATCATTTCTAAGGCGCCGTCTCATCTATATCTGAGCTTGACAGTCCTCTATGGTTTTAAATCCGGATGTGTTTTTAGTTCTGCCTGAATACACACTCATTTTTTGTGGAATATTCATGCTGCAAACGTTCAGGGCCAAGGATGGTTTATTGGGTTGAGATCTGGGGAGTGTGCTGGCAACACTGAGATGTCTCTGGAACTGTGTAGAGATGATATAACGGATTGTGCCATAGAAAGGAGTTATCCAAAAAAAGGTACACTGAGGGTATAAAAAGACTCTTTTTTTTTAAACAGATATTTGGAATGATACTAATGCGAATACTATGAATACCAGCCTGGACAGGATGGAGCTGTAATTCATGCAGTCTATGCTTAATGGTCAGTCTGCCATGACTGTGTTGCAACCTTGATCCCTTCGGACTTGGCAATGCGTCCAACTGTGCAGCAGAGATGACATCCTCACAATGGTTTCCTTCTTCTTCGTTCATTATGAGCGACAGAGTGGAACTCGGCGTGGTGTTTTTGCTGCTGTGGTCCATCCATTTTAAGATTTGACTAGTTGTCTGATTTAAGACGGCCTCCTGCACATCACTGCGGTACCGAGCTGTTGCTTGCATTTTTGTGGGCCATCTGTCATCTTGAACAAATCTTGTCGTTCTACTGTGACCTCTCCGGGCAACAAGGCTTTTTTGTCCACAAACCTGTCACTGACTGGAAGCCTTTCCTGTTTGTTTGCTCATATTTTTTGCTCGTGCCACAGTTCTGACTAAACTGGCCCTGCTGTACCGGATGAACCTCTTGGAATAGTGACTGTGTTTATATTGGAATTAGCACATCTGGGATCAAACATCATACCACATTCAATGTTGCTCAGATCACATCCTGCCCATTCTACCACTTATTCAAAGAGTTAGTGAATTGCTCAACCCTGTTTGCATGCTTTACGCTCATGCATTATTTATATACAGTGTGACTCAGTGTCTGGAGGAGCAAGCTGTTTGTGTAAATGAGAATGTGTACTTAATAGAGTGGATAGCAAGTGTTCTGTTGATACATTTCTGGGAACAACAGTCATAAAAAATCTAGCTGCATGCAGTTTTAAATGTTACCCTGGACCCCCACCTTCCTAAATATTTAAAATATCTCGGAGCTCCGAAAGCCCCTGATATTACAGATGACTCATGAATTAAATGCTGAACACAACAGAGTAAATGAAGTGAGCGTTGAAAGTATGGGATAATTCTGTTTTTTATTTACAACTCTTTCAACCAGTGAGGGTTGATTTCGGCCACACATGGGGAACCGCTTTATGATCCAGAATGAAGTGTTGCAACATTTAATGGAAGTATTGCCATGACTTTTTGGAGAGCCAGAGAGACACACAGTGCTCAGATATATCTAGGCAATCTCAAATACTTTGATGATACCCTGACCTCATCTGCCACAGCTGTATTTTAAATGAGCGCAATAGATCATAAGTCAGAGTAAGGATCCTATAAGCCAGTAAGTGCTGTGCTGTGCTGAGCTCAAGTTGAACAAGTCAAGCAATTTCAGCTCAAAGCAGCTGTTGAAGCCCCAGACAGACCCAAAAAGAAGCACTGAGGGAAAGCGCACCCACTTTATGTTGCTGGTAATAGCAGATGGGAAACTTAAAGAAGAGAGAACAAAGGTTTAGCAGTAGACTGAGCCTCATAACACTTTTCCTGTCAACACTGGCATCAGCTCTGACATGAGGAGGCGGTGCTCTTCAGCGAGGGAATGTACGGGTCAGCCTTGATTTGCTGGGATGCTCCGTGGGACCGACTGTAGGTTGATATGACACAAAAGAAATTATACCAGTATTATTGTGGGTGATATGATATGAAATACACATTCACACAACTCCAATAATTTAATAGAAAATAAACTAGAAATGTTTTATTTTTTACTCATTATACTAATAATCTGCTCACGATGGCTGATACACCTAATTTTACGATGTTTCACTGCTTTGTTTACCTCCCTAGTGCTCTTTCTCTCTCTTTACTTTATCTCTATGTCAAACCACCATTGTTGCTTGCTCTCCCCTCTTATTTGCATAATGACAGTTTGGGTTTAAAAAGAGCGAAAATCTGTTTTTTTTTCTTTTAATTTGCGTTGGTGCTCTTTGATATTATTAAACGGAAACAGAGCCGGCCCAAGCCTCAAAAGGGCCCAAAGTAAAATATGATTTTTGGGCCCTTTATTTTTGCCAATAAATTTGGTTGTTGATCATTCACACACCTTCACAAATCTCATTCCATGACATGGAAACATACCTTTGTCTTGGCGTTTTCCCTCTTCTTCCTCTGTCTTTTCTCTGCTCCTGAAGGATATGTCCTTTTTCGCAACATTGTTTTGCCCCACAACTACCTGCGCTTTGGATGCTCAGTGCACATTGCACACCAAGCGGCACATAACAGTAGCGAAAAAATAAAAAAATATTTAGGCATTTTGGGCTCTATTTTTGTGCCCGCCGGCGGCACGGTGGAGGGTGGCAGACACCGCACAGGGGTATTTTGTCTGGTGGAGCCCAGTGCACAGCCAGTTTGGTATTTTTGTGGACTGAGGCATACCGAGGTCCACCAAGCTGGGCGTGGTGGCTCGGCAAGGGGAGCTGTTGACCGAATCAACTGGCGCAGTGACATTTTCATGCCCGGCGGCGGCGTAGAAAGTGTGCTGAAAGCTCGCTGATTCAAATCTGGTCAGCTTTCAGCGCAGGCGGAGCGCAGCTAGTCTAGTGGTATTTTGGTAGACTGGCAGCGTAGTGCACATACGTCACCGATGCCTCACCGGCAGGTTTCCACAGTGTCAGGCACATTTCAGTGCAATAAATAATCAACAACAACAAATATTCTGCGCTGTCGGCGAGGCATGAAAATAGAGCCCTTTTTCTTTGACTGCTCTTGGGGGCCCCCTTCTGGCCGCGGGGCCCGAAGCAGGCGCTTAGTTTGCTTATGCCTTGGGCCGGCTCTGAGTGGAAAAGAAATGTTATTATTTTAAAGCACATGGTATAGAAAATTATAAAATTTGACCCTGTTGTGCCAGCAGATAGCATGAGGGAAGTCACTTACCTTGCACTTTTTGTTTTTTTTCAATTCTGTGTTGGTTTCAGAGGGGTCTTTATTGGCATTTAGGCATTGGAATCTGTATCAGCAATGCTATTCGACATATCTTGCTGAGTTCAAATTTAGTGTTATGTGTCTGTTAGTATGCCAGCTTTAGCATTAAGCTGCTTGCATCTTGCTCCCCTTATTTAATTCCCTAAACAGTCAACATGCAAAATAGTCATACCACATAAATACATATGCCCACATACACAGCCTTTTCATGCTGCATGAATTTAGCTAATCCTCTTATTGCAATTTAGCATCCACATTAGAGGTGAATGCTAACCTAAAGCAGTCATTCACTTATAGATGGGGTCTCCTCGAATTGGTCAGACATGCCCAAAATAAAAAAAACATAAAAAGACGAACTTACTACTTTGTGGTGAGTGTGTCCTGATGTCAGGAGTGGGCATTGAAACAGAGGCGTGCTGACTCACCCAATGATCCTGCTGAACGCTGACATCAAAACAAACAGACAGAGGAAATAAGCCGTGGCATTGAATCAACAAACAGCTGTCAACCATCACTGCGTTACATGACGGGCTGAGCCGCGGTGAGAACAACAGAGCGTAAATGGGAAGGGACAGATGGACACGCTCCGTTTGGGTGACAGACTGCACAGCCGTGGGTAAGGTGTGGGACAGGCAGCGTTTTATAAAGAAATATGCTTGACACCATTGAAGCTTGCTGCAAAAATCACGTCAAGTTGCCTGAAGTGGATTTTTGACTCTGGAGCTGGTGATAAAATGTGAAAGTGTTGAAAACATTCCCGAGCAGTTCAAGATATTCTCAAATACTCTTTTTCTGCAAGACATGGGAGTTTGATGATCTAATTATGCTTAATAATCAAAACCTCAATCAACTGGCGTTCACTTTAAACTCTCCATTATCTCCATTTTATCATAACACCAGATGCATTCAACTGCTCTTTGAATACATACAATTTGAATGAGAATGAAAAGCAATCACACTGAATTGCTCGGGTGATGTTGTCACAAAAGATACATGCCAGCAGTCCCGTGATAATGCAGCCACAATGATTGCATGTTATCTCTGAGTTGATAACAACGCATATGCAATCTCCGAGCTTCCCCCCAGAGTATTATGCAGCACTTGCATAACTGGAAATTCAGATATAGCCGTATGATAACACTCCTATGAGTACTCTGGTATTAAATTTTTGTATATCTCAAAACTCTCCTGTGTCTCTGTTGTTATTGATTATAAAAGTAGATACTGAATATGTACTTTTTTTGTTATATAGAGTTTGCTAAAATAATATCTTTGCAAAAGTATCCCAAAACCCTAAAAAATAGGAGTAAAGCAGGACACAATTCCCTCACTTACATCTCTTGGAAAAAGCTCTATATATCCTCCTCCTCTCCATCAACACCATAGATCTTCTTGAATTTGACAACCCCACTCAATTGCCCTTGTCTAATGGCTTGTATTGCAGTATTGAAATGCAGAACAATATGCAATTGCTTCTGGGAAAACAGATGCAGACATTGTAGCATAGGGAAATAATCTAATGTGAAATTATATTTTTCTCTTTAATAGCAATGCGGCTCGTTTGTCCCTGATAGGAGTGATCTGGGATGAACCTTGATTTTTCAGAATTGTCGAAAGCCACAAGAGACATTAGTCTGGCTGTGAGTTGCGTTTTGTGTAGGAACAAATGCAGGCCACAGACTTTTACTGAGGCATTTGATGTGCGGTGTAATGCTGGAGGAGCGCACAAGAGCATTCAGACAACGGAAAACTACAAAGGCGCTACCTGTGAAATATATACAGTACTGAAGGTGTCTTTGCCGTTGCTGTTTTGAGAGGGTTGTGGCTGAGGATGCTGTCTCTTTTTTTTTTTTTTTTGTTGGTCTGTGAGAAAAAAAGAAATGTCAGACAAATGTTTGGGAACAACTGAGAGAAGAGATTGTGCCTATAAAGGGCTGTGTCAAACATACATGAAAATATTGTTGAATCGTGCTGTAATGTGTCGCAGATGAGCAGGAGTGTTGCCCTCTGATGAGATGAGACTTGAAAATGTCTCTGACATATTGTGTCTGCAGGCAACCGGAACTATAAAACACACCAGACATTCTGGTTATATAATACTTTCTTTTTGCTGGATGAAAGCTTAGCAATTCACATATTTTCAGACAGGAAATTTGGTCTGGATAGTTAGATGATGTAAAGTTGAAGTTTTCTTGTAAAGTTTTAGTGTCACTCCCTCAAGTGCTTGCACAGAGTAGATGATACCTGATTCATTTAATTCTGAGTTAAAACAGTCAAACATCGCTGGTATTTAATGTCGCTTGAGACAGATTACCCATCATCTCAAGAGGGATTTCCTTTATGCACCATATGTTGCAGTACTGGATAAATGCAGTATGTTTTAAGTGCTTAAAAATTACAGAGGAGGACAGAATACAAATGGAGTAACATGCAACGACATAAACTTTATCAATCAATGCAAAAGACTTAAACACAGTCTAAATTTCCTATCAATGGTAAAAATGATGTTTCATCTGCAGCAGACGCTCTGTGATGGTAATTTATGACCAAACAAAAACTCACTATCTTCTTCTGCATATGATTTTTGCATCACTACCATGTACGTGCACTGCAGGCCCAGAAGCTTAGGTGAGAACCTTCATTTTGCGATAAGGTTAACGGGCTCCAAAAGAAGAAGGTCGACACTTTCTTGTGCTGACCTTAACTGCAACAACGGGAGAATCGCAGCTGATGTGCAAATTTACATTCTACATTGATGGCACATGGAAACAGACTGTGCCAGCACAGCCAGCAGTGACAGTTTCTGTTCTGTGCAGCATTACAATATCAGACCAATGTTGAATGTAGACTCAATACTATTTTTTTTTATTTTATTTTATTTATTTTTTTTTTGGGGGGGGGCGTAGTTTCAGCTTATATAACTAACATCACGTCCTACTATTTAACTTTTGGTAACAATTTATCTGACACGAGGCCAGTTATTATAATGTGTTATAACTGTTAACAACTCACTGACAATGCCCACATAGATAATGCATTATACCTATATTTATGATGTGTTATAATTTGCTAATAAACTTGTATAACTATCATTATAAACGCTCATTAATTATCATAAGGCTTGATAACAATAAGCATAACACATTGTAATACCTGACCTCACAAGTCACAACCAAATGCTTTATAATGTGTTATAATTATTGCTTTAAAGCATTATGATCATTTATGAGTCTTTATAACTATAGTTATACAGTGCTATAACGTGATTATAATGCATTATACTTATATTTATAATGTGTTACAGAGATAGGCGTCAAATAAAGTGTTACCCTTTTACTCTTTTATGTTCAATTTATCATTTAGCTCTACTCTATGCCACTTCTTAACAATGTGCCACTCTCCCAGCAGTGTCACAGTGTGAAGCTGGCCCTTCTTGCAGCCCCCATCCTTATTTGTCACTGACCACAGAATGGAAACATTTTCCTTCTATTACCTGCTTATATAAAAAGATTGGTACACAGACTGTGGTTTTCAATTCTGCTCCACAGGAAAAACAGCAGTAGCTGTAATTATGTACTTAATGCTGCTATAGAGCTTTTTTTTTTTTTTCTTCCTGAAACCAAGGATCTCTGAAGAAACAACAGCACAGATTTCTTGTTCCTGGCTTATTAGACATGTAATTTCTGTTATCAGAGCAGGCACATGAATACCTTTTATGAAACATCCTTGGCATGCTGTGTTTCCAATACCAGCACGACTCAGAACATTATTATTTTGGTTTCTCTGAACAGGCCAGGAGATCTGTCAAATTCTCTTAAATTCCTGAGAAAATAAAAGAGGAATTACACACTAGAAACAAATTTAACTGGTGTATCAAAAGAATAACCCGCTTCAAGCACCAATACATTTCAGTGTTGTCTGGCATTTCTCGCTCCATATATAACAAACATCCGTTGCTGTTTCAAATAATCCTCTCAATTCATCACACCTTGTTGAATCATAAGATTTTCTTCATCAAACTTTGTAATTTATGCTCTTTTTGGGTTATAACATTGGTCATTTTAAAATTAGATGTATCTATGCGCTGTTTTATTTCCACCAAAAACTTGAGATGAACGCAATAAAACTGCAGATATAACTTTATTTCAGATGGGAGCGATCTGACGCTGGTACTTCATACACTCCTGTTTTCAATTTCCCACAGTAATACAGCCATGACTCCTGCTGTTTTTATTTTTTTCAACACTACACTGATCCCCTAAGAATTCAATTATGGCTTCCTCTATCCACTGGGAGGTCAAAACTCAGTGTCAACAACTGTCTCATGGACCGAGAATCAGGGACCAGCTCAAGGACACTTCTACTGGTGGATATTTGCTGTCAGTGGAACTTGAGACTTGAAAAAGAAAACAAGATGGTGAAACTGCACATTTAGTCACCCTGCTTCTTGGAACAAGATGGATTCAAACTTGGAATTTTAAAACTGGTTAAAGAAACAATTAAAATGTCATCAATCTCACTAGCTGGCACCAGAATTACAACTCTGGAACAGATAACACTTTTTACTTTTGGCCAGAAATTCTGGTCGTATATCGGGTCTAGTAAGCTTCAGTTCATGGCTACTGCTACAATGCTAAGGTGCTCTATGACAGTTTGCATTTCATGGTGCAGCTTTGGGTTTGGCAGCGGTCACTGATACCTCAATTGTTTTCCACGTGCTTGGAAGAAAAACAATCTCTGTCATTTTTGTGTTATGTCTCCAAAAGCTCTGAGGCGTATTTGAAAAAGAGGAACAGATCTACTGTCATCATTCAACCCAAGGCTGCCACAAACAAAAGACAGTGTCAGTGTGACCCAGCAGAAGGCGCTCTCATCATAACTTGGTTGGTATACTTATACAGTAATGCTGTTGTGCGAAAATGGCAAATAGACAAAGATAAGGATGCCTGAACACTTTGTACAAAGCAGCAGTCCAACAAAGACAAATTTGTGGGCTCACCTGATGGTTTGCACACATGAAGCAGCAGTGGAAGGAGGCACCGCCAACAAGCAGCACGACAGCAAGTGTTCACCCCCGTATGACTGCCTTTTTACAACAAGCCCTCCGTTATAGGGCGCTCACACCAAGCGCGAGTGAAATCATCCACTCGTTTAGTTCTTGCGAATCTAGACACGTGAATGAATAGCATTTACTCGCTTCATTCGCCCGTCAACGGTAATCCCTGCCAATTCAACCAGCGGGATCAAGTGATTTTTACAATTTGCCAGATAAACCGACCTCTTCACTCACTTTCCTCCGGGCGAACCCCTTTTTATTCTGGTTTTGGAAATTGAACGAAAAGATATCATATAATTTGGGGCACCCACACACCAACACGATCAGTTTGTCCTCCATTTTAGACACCAGTTTTCATATGTCACCCAGCAACCACTGTGCCGATTAGTTATCGTGACACAAATACCTGCTCAAGTTGAGACATATTTAGCCCAATTCGTGTCATTTGCGCCACCAGAGTAGTAGTAGGAGAGTAATAGGAGCGTCTAAACGCGTCTTTACATTGACTCCACATGTAATTCATTCACGCAAATGGTTTTACTCGCGCTTGATGAGTGGACGCAGTTAGAGTGTTGGACAGAGACCATCACTGATAAGACAAGTCCCTATCTGAGCGTATCCAAACATTTGCACATGATGTTGGATATTCGTACAAATGACAGCCCCACTGCTTAATGGTTGATAATGGTTATCGCACAATGATTGACTTAAGTTTTTTTGTCTAATTTTCAAGCCATACCTTCAGCATGCTTGTTGATATAGAATAACCTTAGCTGTGCACACTGTGTATACAGGTTCAGTGTTAATGTTTCAAGTTATGCTGATGAGAGAAATTATTCCAGAAGCTTAATTTTTTTATCTTATTTTTTTAAAAAGCAGACTAAAAACATAAAATGTGGGAGACCAAGGTTGCTGTTTTTACCAGTCCTGCACTCCTGAAAGCTTCTCTCCTTTTTGTTCTTTGAAATCACAGTCATGTCAAAAGCAACTGCTTCAAATAGCCATATTAAAAGCAATTTAATCAGGGCTCAGACTGCCTAACACTATTACTGCTCTAATTATTCTCCAAGTGCTTGGTGTGTGAATATGATCTGATCTTCAACAGAAATACGCAGAGGTTCTGCAAGTGCATAAAATCTTCAAGGAAGTCAGCCTCTTCAGGGGATAGAGACTTAACGAGCTCAACAGCCTTTGAGTTGCCTGGAGACAGTGGCAGGGTTATAAAGCATTAAGGAAGGAAATCAAGTCCCCCTGAATGCAGAAAAAAAATAAAAAGGAGCTGCAGAGATTCTGACTAAGCTGTGGGCGGTGGCTACAGAGACCAGGGCTGCTGAGGACAAGTGAGGAAGGACCCTGCAGACAAAGTACAATTCGGAATCAATACAGGCTACATAATCGACAATCACTACAGCACTGACATTTAGATAAAGCCTGTTTAATACCACATCAAGACTGGAATCTTTGGTAAATAATTCCCTGTGAGATACTGTTGAGCGTATGGGAGGCTTAGAAAACGACACTTTAAAACGACATGCCACTCTGCAGCCCGTTTCCTTTCGTAATTACAGAGTAAATCACAGCAGTGTTTAATAATATGCAGTGTCAAGCACTGTCAAGAGGTATATTTCTATAACTAATGTCTTTTTTTTTTTTTGCATGTTTCTGCTCTCTCACTGTCAGCCATCTTCACTTCTTGAAGAAAAAAAAACTCAAAACGTGACAGTTGTGTTGATGGGGCTGCAGATTTTTTTCTTTTTTACTGCCCACAGGCAAAATCTTTCATTGTTTGGCACCCCTCTCTCCTTCTCCCTCCAACCCTCTCTGATGATAACCCAGGAAGCCTTCAGCCCTTATTTGACTCCCCCTCCCACTAATTTTCTGCACTTATTTTTGAGGAAGCAAATAAATAACAACTCCATCTCTGCGCATGGGAAGCTTACATTACACTTCTAAGCACGCTGAGAAAACTCTGTAAAGCAGAGTCAGAAAACTCATCTGTATGCGTCTCATATGCATCCCAAAAAAACAAAATCTTATTCAGCAAAGAAATAATAATTTATGAGGATAATTTAAACTTTCTTTTTTTACATTTAATAATTAAAAAACAAACTTAAAACGATGAATTACTTAACTTAGTGAAGGAATCAGCTTTATTTTCAATTATTTTTTATGCATGTATTTGCCTATGTGAAGTGTTCCTGCTGTGTCACAGTGAATTACATGCCTTTGTATTCCTGCTCTGTTTGCATCTTTGTGTTTTTACTGTGTGTTTATGTTGTTTCAGCTCTCTTACTGAGCCCGAGGTATGAGCTTTAATAATGTTTTGTATCTGACCAGCGACTATGAGGAGGGAAAGTACCAACAGTGTGCTTAAAACGTCAAATCTGTCTGTCTTATTGTTTCATCCATAACCATCTGCATGATGTCCTGGGAAAACTGACCGAGGCAGACTGTCGTTATGTTGCTGCCACCAGGGTTTCCTGCTGTTTTATGAATGTAATAAGGATCTCTTTTTTTGGTGATAAAACTTGCCAACTTATTTCCTAATTGGCCTCCAAAGACTCTATACGATTATTTGCGTTTTTGGTGAAATATCTCAATTAGCTCATGTGAGATTTGTGCAGATAAGCAAAGACGAACGTACACCACCAACACCTCAGATTACTGTAAATGTTGGAAACACTTAAATTTATCAAAACCTCCAATGTCATTGTGACGGTTAGCATATTGCAATGACAGCATCCAGCTTCAAACTTTCTATCTAAAAAAAAACAACACGCATCGCCAGGAGCACGTCTGCTGACTTTTATTCTTCATCTCTGCAGACTTCATTTATTTAGAGTTCATGGAAAAGGCTAACTGCTGATACAAACCCTTGGGGGCATCATTTTTCATTAAAGCTCTCAGAGGCTGTCAGTTTTGCTGTTGTTGAGCTTTTGCACTCCTAGAAATGGCTTGTCACTCTATCTTACAACTATGGTGTCTGCTATGATTTATTTATTTTTTTATTCAAAGGTTGCTTTTAAAAAAATAAAAGGTTGGGATTTTAAAGGGTCCGTTTTAATGACAGCATTTTGACTGCGCGCGGTAAATCAGGGGGTTGAGGAATCCTCGTGGTGAGATTGTGTGTACTTGTCTTTCAGGAGTAAAACCAGAGAAACGCACAGACCTCGACTAATTTGATTGACATCTATTTTGATGGCTGCTGAAGTGTCCAGGTGCCCTCTTATCTAATTCTCTGTTCGGCTGGGAGGCTGGAGTCTATAATAGCCTCGTTATGGAAGCCTGTTATATTCATTATGAAAGAAGGAAGCGGGGAGCGACCGTGGGGGCAAAAGCTCGGTTGTTCTGACATTCTTCTGACGGAGGCTCTGCAGGGGGAATAGTGTTTCTCATTTTCATTAGATTTCATTAGATAACACCTCGCTTTTCACAAGCAGTTAAAAAGATGAAATGCTATCTTGCACTTCTGCTGTGTCCTCTGCCCACACAGAGCTGATTCCAAAGCAGTGTCATTTGAGAAATGGAGAATAAAACACATTTCGAGCTCAAATTAAACTTGTGTCCAGGTTTGAATTTAGGATGAGGATTTAAGGTGTACCTGTAATCACAGCTCTGCATTTAGCCTGATAATATTAAGCCTATCTTTGACTTATATTTTAAGCTTGGTGCATCATCCTGACACAGGGCATGTATTTATGATTTGGCTCAGCTGCCCACATTGTATCACTGCCACATTTTGCACCACCTCCTGTCTCTGCATGAATTATCATGTTTTCAGCAAGATAAACATGGTACACTGCCTTTTTTTGAATAAGAATATACAATACATAGATTTTGGCAAGCAAATCATAACAATGCACTCTTGACCTATCAGTCTTTCTGTTCAGTTTTCATTGCTGAAATACTGGACAAATGTTTTGACATTCAGTAATACATGCAATCATAAATGTTGTGACAGGAAACAAACATCAATATTTCAGGGTTGCATTCATGGTTTTTATAATGCCAAATAAAATGTGAATATAAAACAGGTTACTGGCAATTTCCACTGCATCCGGAACGGCTACGTCCACTGATCATAGCTGATTGTAACCATTCAAGTTAATGCGTCAATTTCCACCTGCACCTTTCCGTTCCATTTCTGATCGCCGGACTCCGCAGCTGATCGCAAGAGTTCTATTTTTTTCTGACGCTGGAGCATGCCGGATAAATTCAGCACAGATTAACCCATGCTGGAAAAAAAGTCAGGCACAGACATAAAATAAAAAATCTGGCTTCTTTTCAAAATAAAACACTCCGTGTTTCAGGCGGATTGAAAGGTTTTTAGACAGCGTTTCACCCTGATGATACCACGGATGAGGAGATGCTGATTCTAAAAGTCTAGAAGTAGATTTCCTCCTCTGGAAGGACACAATCTACTGCTAATATGGTTAGCCTACGTGGCTCAAGACAACTTGATATTGCATGATTGCACGTGAATCAGCGGGTTCTTGTAAGTTCTTGCGAATCCCGCTGTCTGTAATTCGCCATGAAATTCGCCTCACAATCGGATCAGGTAGGAAATGGCAGATGGCAAAAATCGCCTCCGTTCTGGATCAGAGCCGTTTCGGATGCGGTGGAAATCCCGGATTAGTGCTATGAAACCCTGATTATTCCATCTTGTAAGACTTAAAACTTTACAAGAATATCTATCAACCTAAGGTCTTAAAGGTTGATCGTTGTTTTCAATTTTAAACATGCAATATACTCAATCATAAAAGCTGGCTAAGTTTTGGAATTGTGGATAGGCCATCTAGATTTCCTTTTTTCAAAGACTGTCTCATGCCAGTTGCACTAAAGGGTTGAGGACTTGGTGACCTTACTGAGATATAGTGAAATATCAGACGAGCTTAACCAGCCATTCCATCAGTCTTGCTTGCATTATCCTTCGCAAACAACAACCAGCCTGAGTTATTGAACTCGACAAGGAGCCAATTGTGTCATTTATGAATTTAAATTTCCATTGTGTCAGACGGACTATGATACTATTTATTATCTCAAAAGTTACATAGCATCTTTTGGCATTTCAAAACTATATGATTTATAATCCTGAAAACTTCTGCTGACAGCAACCCAGTGGCCAGTTGATTAGGATGGATGCCATGTTTCTGCAACACCCACAGCTGGACACAAAGCTGGGGGACCTTACTTCAGGTCACAGCCTCCCTCCTACCTAAGACACATCAGGTCATATGAGTATAATGTAAATGTAAATGTTGTCTTGTTACATATCTGAATTTTAAAAAATATATCACAATTCACTGAACAAAACTGCCATCTAACTGCAAGTCTTTCAAAATGGACACATTTATATGTATATACATATACATATAAATATACATATACATGTATATATATACATATACATATAAATATACATATACATATATATATACATATACACATATACATATATATATACATATACACACACATATATATACATATACATATATATACACACACACATATATATATACACACACACACATATATATACACACACACATATATATACATATATACATATATATATATACATATACATATACAGACATATATACATATGCACACATATATACGTATACACACATATATACATATACATATACAGACATATATACATATGCACACATATATACGTATACACACATATATACATATATATACATATACATATACACATATACACATATAAATATACATATACATATACACTCACCGGCCACTTTATTAGGTACACCTGTCCAACTGCTCGTTAACACTTAATTTCTAATCAGCCAATCACATGGCGGCAACTTAGTGCATTTAGGCATGTAGACATGGTCAAGACAATCTCCTGCAGTTCAAACCGAGCATCAGTATGGGGAAGAAAGGTGATTTGAGTGACTTTGAACGTGGCATGGTTGTTGGTGCCAGAAGGGCTGGTCTGAGTATTTCAGAAACTGCTGATCTACTGGGATTTTCACGCACAACCATCTCTAGGGTTCACAGAGAATGGTCCGAAAAAGAAAAAATATCCAGTGAGCGGCAGTTCTGTGGGCGGAAATGCCTTGTTGATGCCAGAGGTCAGAGGAGAATGGCCAGACTGGTTCGAGCTGATAGAAAGGCAACAGTGACTCAAATAACCACCCGTTACAACCAAGGTAGGCAGAAGAGCATCTCTGAACGCACAGTACGTCGAACTTTGAGGCAGATGGGCTACAGCAGCAGAAGACCACATCGGGTGCCACTCCTTTCAGCTAAGAACAGGAAACTGAGGCTACAATTTGCACAAGCTCATCGAAATTGGACAATAGAAGATTGGAAAAACGTTGCCTGGTCTGATGAGTCTCGATTTCTGCTGCGACATTCGGATGGTAGGGTCAGAATTTGGCGTCAACAACATGAAAGCATGGATCCATCCTGCCTTGTATCAACGGTTCAGGCTGGTGGTGGTGGTGTCATGGTGTGGGGAATATTTTCTTGGCACTCTTTGGGCCCCTTGGTACCAATTGAGCATCGTTGCAACGCCACAGCCTACCTGAGTATTGTTGCTGACCATGTCCATCCCTTTATGACCACAATGTACCCAACTTCTGATGGCTACTTTCAGCAGGATAATGCGCCATGTCATAAAGCTGGAATCATCTCAGACTGGTTTCTTGAACATGACAATGAGTTCACTGTACTCAAATGGCCTCTACAGTCACCAGATCTCAATCCAATAGAGCATCTTTGGGATGTGGTGGAACAGGAGATTCGCATCATGGATGTGCAGCCGACAAATCTGCGGCAACTGTGTGATGCCATCATGTCAATATGGACCAAGCTCTCTGAGGAATGCTTCCAGCACCTTGTTGAATCTATGCCACGAAGAATTGAGGCAGTTCTGAAGGCAAAAGGGGGTCCAACCCGTTACTAGCATGGTGTACCTAATAAAGTGGCCGGTGAGTGCATATATACATATACACATATATATATACATATACACACATATATACATACATATACACACATATATATACATATACACACACATATATATACATACACACACACACACATATATACATACACACACACACATATATACATACACACACACACACATATATACATACACACACACACATATATACATACACACACACACATATATATATATATATATATATATATAAATTACATCTGACTATGATTTAATCATCACTTTGTCATTTGATGTATGCACTCTCTCACCTTCTATCTGGGCTGAGATGGAGTGATACATAATAGAATAATAGGTCTTGCTAATTAAGTAGTAAAAACAAGGTAAAACGCTTATAGCAGGTATGCTTCGGTTAGAGTTTTTATGGTGTACTTAACTAGTAAAGTGTTCTAAAGAGACATTTAGTTTCATAGTTTTTCAGCTTCAAATTAATAAAATAAATTACGAATGTGGTTTTCAGTGTTAACATTAAAATGAATCCCCTTTTAATGCTGTGATCTTTATGCTGACACATTTTGTAATAGTCTTTTATGTGAGTTTTGTAAGAGGTTTAATACAATGGGAAGTCTTTGATACATGTGTTTAATTAGCAAACAGGATCCTTTTAATGAGACATGAGCTTCCTTTAAACCACTGAGTTTGAAATTGGCCATGTGAAATGAAAAAAAAAAAAAAAAGACTGGATGATAAATGATTGAATTTGCTAGGCTGCATGCTTCAAACTGAAAGAAGAATCCTGTGGTCAGAAAAATCTATGATTAAAAAACATGCAGGGTGTTAATATAAACATAATCACAGGGTAATTAAAAGAGGAAGGGGGAAAAAAGGCTTCAGTTCTCTTACAGTTTTTTCAAAATTTCACTCCACTTCATATGGCACTCTTTTTTCTACGAAACAACAATATAAAATTATCAAAAACTGAAATAATAATAGGAGACTAAGAGAAAAGAGGACTGTAACAAAAATTAAACATAATTAAAATCAGTAAAAGTCATAAAAGATCAAACACAAGAAAAAATATGGTGAAAAGAATGATAGAGTGAGACACAAGGCTAACAAAAATTAAACATAATTAAAAGTAAACTTTAAAAAAGGGGGCTTTATTTTACTTTGAAAAAATAAAATAAAATACACAAGATGGATGAGTTTCACTGTTTTTGTGTGTTCAAGCTGAAAGCGAGGGTTAAGGTGAGCTCTCTGGCCAGTGCTTGTGTGGGAGGAACACTTAAAAGAGAGGCGTTCAAAGACGTAAAAATAAACAACAGCAATGCTCTAGTGACTAACATTACACAACAAGCTCTGTCATTCAGTCTGATTTTATCCACTTTTATCATCTTGTTTGCTTAAATTTCTGTCACTTGGCAGAACAAATACTTTGAAGTGCTAGCAGGGCTCTGTTCAGTCCATGATGGTAGTGTAGGTGGAGAGACAAGCCAAGATCTCTTTGTTAGTTAGAACAAATTTTCATAATCTGCCTCCCGTCTTTCTGTAATAGTGAGGCACCTGAGCAAGGCTGTGTGGTTAAAAGTTAGGTTTATTTATAATTGTCTTGAAGGAAAGATTAACACCTTTACTCATACCCTAAACTTAAAATCTCATAAACAGATCCAGCTCTCCCTTCCTAAGCTCTAAACAGCAGCCTCTGCTGGTTTGTTCCCTCCTCCTTCTTCTCAGTTTTACTGTTTCTCCATCCTGTCCTGAAAGCCCATCACCTCAGCTGAATATCAATCAATCTGACTGGAGCACGCTTCATCATTCGGTCCTTCAACTCGGCCTCTTTCCTCTATTTTGCTCAAGCAATCAACTGATTGTTCTTTGGCTTCCTTCACCATTCCTGACTCACCCCTCAGACTTCTTGCTCAAATGTCAACCAAATTAGCAGACGGACAACCTGCAAGCGGCACCAGCAAAGGCTGCACAGAGCTAACAAGTGTGCAGGACAAAACAACAACACAACCACATCACGGCTCGTCAGCAAAGTTCCTGACAAGCTGCTAATGTCAAAGGTGTGCCTTCAGTCAAAACAACTCCTCTGCTGCTTTCAAGGGAGTCTCCTCCATCTCAGTGTTGTGTTTGCACCTTAGTGTCTCTTGTGGGACTCTCAGCAGTACAGTCTCTGCATATTACTTAATATACTGTTGTTATACTGTTTTTCTGCATTTTTGCTGTGTTGATGCTCCAGGAAGCACCCCAGAAAGTATTTCTGCACTGTTAAAGTGTGTTTATATCTTTGCAACATGCTTTGAATGAGTTCCTGACAGGAAAACCTGGGGGTTACCTTTCTGAAAAATTTTTAATCAGATCCTGAAAAGGCCTTTTTCCATTTTTGCTGGATTTTTCTTTTTTTGTTTTGTTTATGCTATCCGCCATAACTACGACGGAGTACAGGGCCACATTAAGAAAAAAACAATTAAGATTTTGAGATAAAAGTCATTGACTTACAAAAATAAAGTCATTACTAGAGAGAATAAAGTCGTAATAAAGTCATCACTAACAAGAATAAAGTCGTAATAAAGTCATTATGAGAATAAAGTCGTAATAAAGTAATTACAAGAATAAAGTTGTAATATAATTTCTTACAAGAATAAAGTCATTACTAACGAGAATAAAGTCGTTTTAAAGTAATACGAGAATAAAGTCATAATAAAGTAATTACTTACAAGAATAAAGCCATTACTAACGAGAATTAAGTCCTAATAAAGTAATTACTTACAAGACTAAAGTCATTATTAACGAGAACAAAGTCATAATAAAGTTAGTGCTTATGAGAATAAAGACGTAATATTATTACTTACGAGAATAAAGTCATAGCAAAGTAATTACTGAGGGGAGTAAAGTCCTTACATTCTAACCTGTTGGTTAAGATGACAGTTGTTGAAATGAGAGCCATGGAGCATTTCGTGAAAATATACTTCAATAAAGGTTTCTCAACCAAAGAGAAACTTAATCTTACTTAATCTTTTGGCACATCAGCACCACATTATCATAAGTATCAAAATGATTTTATTACGACTTTATTCTCGTAAGTAATTACTTTATTATGACTTTATTCTTCTAAGTAAGTAATGATTTTATTACCACTTTATTCTTATTAGTGATGACTTTATTCTCGTAAATTAACGACCTTAATTTTGAAGTCTTTTTTTTTTTTACTCCATTGTACCATAACACTTATTCAGTAGTTCCTAAACTTTTATTTGGGATTGTTTGGGTGAAAGAAAAGAATCCTGTTTTTCATCTCCTGAGATATAACTTTCCTGTTGCTGTTGCTGCGGCTACAGCCATGAACCGCAGGTTATCATTGCAAACACTGACTGTGGGATGAGCTCTTTAAGTGCAGCAATAGTGGAAGTGTCTGCTGTGTTCACTCCTGTCTGTGCACAGTTTGCTTTATTGACTTCTTCACCCCTTCCCACTGGATGCTACAACAACATAAAAGGAGCTTCAAATCCAACAGAAACGGCGCAGTAGAAAGAATAACACGCCACATATTAATATTCGAACTTCTAAAGCAGGCATGACAGCATTTACCAAGCGTATACTAATCATTCTGTTGTAATTAAGAGGATGTTCAGCGCAGACAGATGAAGGGGTACAAGTGGGTGTCTATGCTCAAGTGCTGAAGTCGAGGTCAAAACAAACACACAAACAATGAAGATGAAATCACGCCTGAACTATAAATAATTTAAAAAACCATATAAATCTCTTGGCTTGTATTTTAACCTGAAGCACAACTGAACCATGAAAATACAGAACAAAAAGGTCTATCGAGTCAATAAGAGGAGTATTTTGAAAGTAGTTACCTTTCAAAGGATTGCAATTTTATCTGATAAAAAAAAAGGAAAAAAATAAACATTACATTTAAGTTTAGCAGAAGCAACCCAAAACTTTAGATATATTGGTAAAATGTATGGATTGAAAGCACCCTCTCTCTTCCATCGAATACCAAGGATGGTCCACAGCTCCAACACTGTCTTTGCAAAAGATTTCCAGTTATTTGCAGACAATACCCTAAATGCCTTGTGTGCAAAATCTCTGCACACATTCACTAAGTTTCATCAGAGCTGATGGACTTTGGACTTCAGTACATAGAGTGTGCTTCGTTCGACAGCCTAGTGCCTGGGTTGAGACTGAATGAAAAAGACATGATTGCACATATGGGAATGCTCCAGTTCAGCATGAAAGATAAATGACAGTTGAAGACTCAGAATTCATTTGGTTCTTGGTTTTTGAGTCTTCAGTCAGTGTATTTTTAATGTAGTGAGGAGAATTGATGAAATGTACTACTTTTACACATTGTCAAAATGCAGGATCAATATTTAAGGCTTGTAGGCTTCCTCATATACTCTCACCAGCTACTTTTTTAGGTACTCGTTCACTTGCTTGTTAACTCAAACAGTAAAATGTACAATCACATGGTAGAAACTGGATGCATTTAGGCATGTCGACGTGGTCAAGACGACCTGCTTAAGTTCAAACCAAGCATCAGAAAGAGAAAAAAAGGGGGATTTAAGTGACTTTGAATGTGGCATGGTTGTTGGTGCCAGACAGGCTGGTCTGAGTATTTCAGAAACAGCTGATCTACCGGGATTTCGTTATGTGGCTCTTCTCCCTCCTGCTCCTCTGCTGTCAGAACTCTGCAGAAACAGACTATCAAACTTGTTTATACAAACGTACACAGAACATGTCTGATGTGCTGAAAGCTGATCTCTCTCCCCATAATGCTTCCTGTTTACATGCTCTTCAATGTGATACTGTAGCTGTGACCACCACCTGCAGTTTAGGTCAAAATATGTATGCTAAGTAAACATCTATATATATAGGTGTGCATGTGTATAGGAGTGTATATAAACAAGGACACAGTAGGCACGAGGGTAGATGTGTAGACCTCTATCTGAAACACTCTCCTTCTGTGTTTTTCTCTATTGTATTTTTAATACGTTCTCTGTATTTTTGCACCATTGGCTGGAGAGAAATGTCCTTGTGGATTCCTGTGGATGTACTCACATATGGCAGAAATTGATATAAAAAAGCTTGTATCTTAGTCTTACTACACTGGACATAAGATACACAGTTGAATGCAGGGGATCAAGACTTTATCACAGGGCTTCCAACAACAGACCAGTTGTTGTTTTGTTCTCTATGAACCTGTAAGAAGCTTGTTACATGTTTTCCTATTAAATACAAGTGCTCCTGTAAAAACGTGTACTTTTGCACCCCTGGTCAGAACTACTCTGGTTCTTGAGTATAAGTAATAGTGATTTCAATTAGAATTGGTTTTGGTTTATTGATACTGATGGGTATAGAATAATTCAGGCCTATTTTCTTATTAAATCTTAACTTTTCATATCCTCAGGTGTGCATAAACTACAAATTTTCAAAGTGCAAAAAAAAAAAAAAAGTTAAATAAAAATCATATTCGTATCCGCCATCATGGAATCCCACTGAGCAATAAACCGCTATGAGATGTCTATTTATTTTTAACCTAATTTCAACCGTCTAGATTCTGTATATTTTTAGATGTAATTTAGACGTTGCACTTTAACTATTTATAACTATTTATTTCAAAAAGCAACTGTGAGATGCAAAACTGATCTCCAAGTACTTAACCAAAATAATTATGATAGCTGTTGAGCAATATACAGTGTAGTATAGATATAACCCAGATTTATACTTGGTCCAAACTTGGTTTAAATTTAGACATCTATAAAACATCATTTTTAAACCTGTGGTAGTCTGATTTTAGACCAGCTGTCTAGGCTACATTTAGACGTCTATTAGACCTCCTTTAGACCAAAAAAATGCTCAGTGGGATAGTGCACTGCTCTCAATGTAAAATATAGGCTCAGTTTAAAATGAATGCCACCATTATCAATAATGTAATTCTAGTGTCAGTTGTTTGATTAGAAGTGCAGTGTACTTAAAAAGTTCAGTCTGTGCTTAATTTCAACATTTATAATAATTAATATTAATGAACCCAGATCTGCACACTAAAAGTTGTTCCGTTAATTAAATAAAAGCAGCAGTGTTGTGTTGTTTTAAATTCATTCTAGCCAGCAGGGACATATTTTCTCACTTGTTTATGATTGCACCATAATTCTCAAAGGCCCCGTTCAACCCCCTCAATGTGTCATGTTTAATCAGCAGTTTATGCCATGAAAAAGATGTAGGCTGGTGCTTACCTAAGACAAACGGTGCCTCTTTACATCCTTTACTTACATCCTCAAAGTCTGGCACACAAGGCTGCTGTTCCATGTTTCCACTGTCGTAAACAAAATGATCCTGAGGCATTTGTTCTCTGCCATATAGCGTCTGACAATCTGCCCGGTATCATGTTTCACACAAACAGCAATTTCTTGACAGGGCTTGCACACTATGACAGTCATACTGCACAGCAGGGGAGAAGAGCTTTTCATGTTGTTCACAGAGCTGTTTATTACCTTTAAATGAAAGGAAAAATGGTGTTTTACTATCACAACAAATCTACTGTACCTTAAGAACAAAAAAAATGACAGAAATCTTGCAGTGCTGTTGTAACCGGTTGTGCTATCTAAAAGAAGAAGAGCATTTCAGTTACACTTTGTGATTGTCCCTCTGTTCCCTCTTCAATTCCCAGCAGACATCTTTATCCCAGAGTGACACCTTCAGGTTCATCGGTTCAGTTCCCCATTTCATTGACTCATCAACCCTGTCTCTCCTCTGTTACCTTGTGCCTCTGTTAAAAGGCACAAGGTACACCTGGAAGGTAGAGTCCTCTCAAAATCAAAGCATTGAGTTGGATTTTCCAATAACTTTTCTCTTTCTTGTTTGTTTGTTTCTTTTTTCTTTTCTTTTCCTACATTTTCAATATGGACTGAAAAGCTGCTGACCTGCACTCTCTATGACATCCTGATCCTCACCATCTCTTAGCAGGAAGTTAGGAGCCAAGTGGTGATCCAGTCTAATTATTCTTATTGCACCTTTAAAGAGAAGTGTTAAAACATGGAAAATGAGCACTGAGTGGCTCTTTAACCTGTGAAAATGTAAGGTGATAATACTCTGAAAGGTATCTGATCACATTAATTTCCCATCTGCTTAATATATGCTAGAATAGCAGTTCAGTGGAGACCCATCAGTGGTGGAAGAGATTTTGAGAAGGGGTTTTTATCATCTTTGTGTCAGTTTTTAAAATTTCTTTCAGCGTTCAACATTAACTTTGTCACATTAGTCATAAATCCATTCATTTGAATACATTACTAATATGTTTACTTTATTCGTTCTTAAGTTTCTTGCGTCGGCCCTGCTCTTACAAAACGAGAGAGAGAGAGAGTGAGAGCTGCTGTGCTGCTGATAGAGATCACTAAATCACTGCAGGAGAAATCAGTGAGTTTTCATTCAGTCAAAACTACTATCATGGAGCTGATGACTCAGGTAAAACTTCATTTTAAACACTGATGAAAACTATTCATGACAGGTTAGTTGATCAGATGTATAAATAAGTATGTCAGTTCAAATTTTCTCCCCCCTCTTAATGCCTCCACTTCTCCATGCAGGCGTCGAGGCCATCGTCAGATGTGGTAAAAGTAGGACAGGGATTTGATTTTGAAGCAGAACAAATACTTGAAGATCCGAATTATAAATTCTATCATTGTATTATTTAAATCTTTAGTTTTTTCAAGTACACGAAATACGCTCTGTATATCCAGTGCTGTATTTTTCATATTGCAATGTATCTCACAGAGAGGAGAAATATTGCAGCATGTTTTTTCTCTTCCAATATTATGCTAATCTACCACTAAGAGTTTAGAATAACTGCTCTGGAGCCAGGATGGTGCTATAATACATACCAATGAGCAGAAACAGACGGGATAAACAGTCAGCCTCTCATTTTGCATTGTGAAATTATCTGCTCTGGTACTCACATGGCTGATGCCACAATCATCTCTCCCAAAGGATATCCTGATTTTCTGAAATGGCAGCATCTGAAATCAGAAACAGTATTTAATATTAATTCAGTTTTGATGTATAGATTAATGCATAACCCAATGTAAATTAATTAATAAGTCCATCAAAGTTACCTGTACAGATTCATAACATGATACAAAATGATGAACAAAAATATAAAAAGAGATCTTGGTAGTCTTATTAGTATTCGCCTCCAGGAGCAGGTTTTTATTGCTCATCAGCATCAGTTAAAAAGAATGATTTCCACATCTCTAAATATCAATATACTGTATCTGCACAGCTCTGGGTATTTTCATCATTGTTTCCACTGTCCCAAAATGCAGCCCAATGATATTGTACATCCCTGAGGTAATGAATTATTCTGAAAATGGAAAAAAAGAAGTTGTAAAATTGAACACAAACTCATTGTATGTTGTTATAAGTGGTCGGCACATTTTAGTGCTCCAGGAGAATGAAGTTCACAATGAAATGATGCAATAAAGTGTAATAATGCTTTCATTATCAGTAAGTGCTGATCTCCAATTGACTGTATGAAGGTGCTGTGACTTCCACCGAATAGTTTCCACACAAGTACCTAATTAGTAATCAGTACAAGTGCTCAGTGCTGATAAAATACAAAAAGATGATCTGCAAAATACCTTTCATTATATCCTCTTTTTACTCTGGCTAAAGCCGTGGCTTTCAACAAAGTGCTGCTTTTTAAATCAATACATTCCTCATTACAGAATGATGAATATTTCATCAGCAAGGCTATTACTTCAAATGAATAATTTAACTGTGTTATATCAGTCAGGGTTGGGGGTTCAGTGGTACCCTGGTCCCTCAGCTTTTAAACCCAACCACTCATTATGAAGCGCTTTAAAACGATGCATAACCCTACCAAAAAGGTCCAGGATTCGGTTCAGAGATTGTTCTCTCTGAAAATGCCAGGGTCACAGTTCAAACCGCTGACAGTGAAGGTATGCTCAGCTCCAAGTAGTCATGATATATACATCACATTTGGACGGTTTTTCTCTTTTATAATGAGCTCTATGCATGAGTAAATCCCACATGGCTTTTCTGCTCTTTATAAATACCAACAAATACCAAATATCACTCATGACGTGAAACAGTAATCTATCAAATATCCAAAGGACTAAAAGGAGTTAATTCCTGAGAAACTGGGACAATCTCTCTTCTAAAAGCACATTTTAAAAAGATTTTCTTACTATTATTTGTTTATTATTTGAGTAATCTGGTAATCTCAGGTAAGCAACCTCAGAGTAAATACTCCTGGTGATGGGAATTCAGGCTCTACTTAGTGATTCAGATCATTTGGCTCAGCTAGAACTTTCTCTCTCTGGTCCCATGTGGCTCCTAGAGACGGTTTTAAATCCTTCTCAAATCCTTTGTGACAGACACATACTCCCCACCTCAGTTTAGGTGTCTGCTGCCATGGTGTAGTGTTCCTGCAGAGATGTCAGGTAAGCCAGTGAAGGTTTTCAGTCATCTGGGTCATGGTGATCTAGAGTTTACCCTAAAAGGCAACCAGGCTAGGACTTATTGAAAGCTGTTTTCAGGTTTTAAATGTGAGGTAGAACATCTTTTTAAAGTACTCTGACTAAGTCCTGCTGTGTAAAAAGTTATCTATATTTTCTTTGTATCATGATGACAGTCATTTTGACATTAACTAGTCTGTGACAAGGCTGACTCAAATCAAGGCTGAGCCATATGGGAAAATAGAAAATTGAACATTTTGCTCATGCATGTTGGCAGACACTGATGTCCTGTGAGCTAGGGCAACAAAACCATAAGGGAGGAAAAGTGCAACCGATTATAAGACATTATTCTGGGCTGTTTTTGAGGCAAGAAAAATCACCTCATTTGTTATTTTCCTTGTGAAAAACTCTCTGGATAACTCTTCTCTACAGACACAGTCATGAAAATAAGGAAGTAGGGGGAGTTCACGCATACAACCTAACCTGGTATGGGTGATCTTTTGCCTTAACAGGCTTCTCACTTTCTCACAGAGAGTAAAGATTACTCTGTTTTTGCTCCCTCTCTGTCTTCTTACAAGAATACAGGGCAGAGGGCCAAGGTAGAGCACATCGCCTAACTCAACAGGCTGCTTGCCCTGGCTTTGCCTTCCTGTCTTCCTCTAAACACCCGGCTTTCCTCTGTTGTTCTATACTTTTTCTCTCTCTGAATGCGAGTATCATGGACATTGAGAGAAGGAGTCAAATGTTTTTTAGCCTTGGATAGTTATCTGTGCATATTTGACCAATCACAGATAATGTTAGTTGGCTGTTATTAGTCGCATGGACTGCAAATCATCTGTGTCCGCCATAGTGGAGAGATAGCAAGGACAGGGGGTGTTTGAGTGTAGTTCACTAAAGCTAGGTGTGAAGACAACCCAAGAACATGGACCTAACCATAGACATAATGTGCGTAGATGCCTCATTACATGCTGGAGCATAATCCAGCATCGCTGCCATATTGGATGGGTCTCCTTCTTCTAGGTTCGCACTAGAGCCCACCAGAGTCAAAAAAGAATGAACAACTATGCCTGTATTTTATGAATCCTATGGTTGCAAAAAAACAGATCACGTAGGATTACATTTCAAGAGTAAGATTAAAAAAACTATTTGGGTCATTTGTATTGTGTGACAGCTTCCTTCATCATAGCTACATCTCTGTCGTTTGTAACAAACCAAATGATGTGAAAATCTGGTAAAAATTCAGGGAGTTCTGATAAATAAGCATTCCTACCTTCCTCAATAGAAATAAATGCACTGAGGACCCATCCAAGATGGTGGCCGCACTGATACGTCAGTTCCAATTGGCAACCTCTGTCTATGAGGCATCTACGTATATCATGTCTATGAACCTGACGATGAAATTTTGAAAAAAAACAGTTGATAACTCCATTGGTATGTTGGCTCCCATTGCCCATCTAGTTCCATATCCAGGGTGTGAGTCTGCTGGGTCAAAGTGGTATGGTAGCGTTGTCAAGGCCTGGTGCTCACATTAACTATATGGTTTTTGAAGGTGGCGGTGCTGTTTGGGTTGAAGTCACCCCTAAGTGCTGTTGTAAAGCAAAAGCATTGGGGTGAGGTTGACTTATTATTTTATTGGTCAATCAATCAATCAGGCTGATTTGTGACATTTTTTTAATCATGTTGCCATCAGCCCTCACACAGCTGATGTCACGAAGATCTTTTTTAAATAACAACTCACCTTCCCAGTGACCGCATCTCAAATCTAAAACAGTCCTCACCCTGTTCTGATACTTTTTCACTCTGGAAGAAGTGTCTAGTGTTCATTTCAGATTGTTCAACTAACTTAAAGTCATGAAATTTAGGAAGTTTTTGTGTCTTGCATAAAACACCTTTCACCCCTCTCCATTTCAAAGCTCTTCATTTCATCTCTTTATTAAGTTTGTATAGCACCAGCACTAGAGCTGCAGAACCAAATAATGTAAAATTGAGGCTTAAAGCAGTGATTTAAATGGGAGGCTTTAAATGTAAATCTTTAAAGTAATCGTTTAAGCCCTAAAATAAAGTACCGGCGAAGTAAAAACTGAGAAATATCTGGAACCATAAACACGGACCGGATGATTCTTCAAAAACGATAGCTTTATCATCACTGGCATCAAATTCACTATCATACATTAAATATCAAGTGAGTAGATTTTAATGTTTGGGGATTTCCACAGGGAAAAAGGATGAATCCACTTCCCCCCCTCTGAACTTCATCAAAATGGAGATAAGAGTGCTTTCAAGTGTTGAGCTGTGCTGGGTATTAAGTAACACAAGGTCAAACTCAGCGTTCATGTAAGATTATGGAAACGTCAGTCTTTTCCCCTTTCCCTCAGCTCTGTAGTTAAAAACATGGACACACGGAGCATCGTGGTTAAGAGCCTGTACACAGATAGATGTGTTGATTGTATGAGAAGCACCTACTCCTCTCACATGTCTGCTAATTTGTAGTCTTTCACTCAGGCAGGTTATAATTTCTGTGTAATTACTTCCATTAGCATTAATTGCTCTTCTGAAGCTCGAGTATGTAATGACACATTGTGAATGCAGATAGTGGAGCCTGGGCATCGACAGTTGTGCAATCTACTCTTTTAAAAAAGCTGCACTGCTTCTCTACAGATATTTCTTTCGTTAATTCACTAGTATCGTTGCAGAAAATCAAATAACTCTCCATATGTCACTTAATCCTTTTGGGCAGAAAGTAGGCTGAAGTGGATGAAGGAGATCCTCACGAGTATTTTATTTTTGCGCCAAATTTGTTATGAGCATTCAAGTTTTGTGGAGCATCTGAATGTCAATGGAGCTGAATCTCTTTTCAACAAATTGATCCTTTTTTGTTTTAAACTACAAGGGATTGACATTTAAAGTGTCAATATACACTTTCACTCTATTAAAACTGTCATAATCCTGTTTAATCGGAAACACAAGCTTAAAGACGACTGAAAAACTGTAAGTTGTTTTGGCCTTTAGACAGAGTATAGCAGCTTTGGTGGGTTCAGTTTCGTTGCTGTTATATTACACTTGTTTTCTTTTCTTTTTTTTTTCCCACAGTGGAAGAAAGTATCAAAAGGTCACAAAAACATCTCCAACACCCCCTGCAGCATTTTACACCCCCCGCTGTCCGTCTCTAAACTCGGAATGTTCCAAACGATCAAGATTTCATCAAAATTTGTCCTTTATTGGCTGATATACAGTCAAACAAGTCTCACCTCAAGAGTGTGAAATGTGATTGAATCAAGTTGTTCTATAACATATCCCTTAATATTTTAAAAAGAAGGTTAGTTCAGGTACTGTGCAGAGAGGACTTTAAATAGTTTCACCTACGTAGCTTCTTGGCCTCAAACACCTCTCATAAAACTTAAATTAGAGACATTTTCTGAATGCAAATGAGCTTTATAATGTCTGCTCTGGACCGAAGTCTACTCTATGCATTTGGGAAATACACAAGCCAGTTCTGAAACCTGCACTACGAAAAGTGGCCAAAATCCTTGCAAAGCTGTGTCACAATGTTTTGACTGCATCTACTGAGTGCTTCAGACTCTAACAAACGTATTTAGGACTGCAGGCAAATCTTTTTAGCTGTGAGTCATTCATATCCTCGCTATCAGTATGTCTTCCTAGTCTCCTCTGATACCGCTGCCAGACGTAACTTATCTGGCTGTATCTCTCCCCGGACTATCCCCTATCGCTCCATCCCCTGTCCGAGGGACCAACTGAATGACAAACTGTACTGTTCTCTGTGGATCAATGGCTCATAAGTATAAACCAATTTCCTTTACAAACTGCACCCTGGGAAATAAACAGACACAGTGCCTCAGGAGCCTGACACAGTACGAGTTTCAACAGCCGATTATTCATTTTAATGTAGTGGAACTCTGGCAGAAACACCAAACTTCAGAAATTAGGTTAAAAGTAAGTCTGGCAAAAGTAAATAGTTTGAAAGTTAAGTCAAAATCAAGAAGAAATACTTGACTACATTTAACTATTCTTAGAAATTACCTTCTGCAGATTACTAACAAGGCAGAAGCTGTTTTCACACGACACGTGAACTGTTAGGTGTGTTTTCTTTGCAACTCTAAAGCAAATTTTCTAAAATACATTTCTTTACAGGAACTCACTGATCTGTGTTAATTCCTATTTCCTCCTATAGACCTACCATTAACAACCTTTTCTGTGATATTAAAGAGCCCTGAATGCACCATCAAAGAGTTTTTCATCATTTAAACAAAACATTTTTTATTTTGAAACTATTTTTTATCTTTATTTTTTTAACATTCTGTTACGACTAAAACCCACAGGATTCGGAACGGCTTCGCTTCGCTCCGGCACGGCAGGCGCATCAAATACACAAGCATTATAATCAATGTGTGTCATTCCACACAATCCGTCCGCCGACCAGCTCCACCGCGGATCGGCTCCAGCGGCCGGATCAGAAACGCAAGGCTTCTATTGTTGCAGGACCCTGCAGCACGGCGCATCAATTCAGTGCATCGCAGCACGAGCAGCAGCAGAAGTTGTATGCGGCTACAAAGTAAAATATCTGGTTAATTTTCAAAATAAAACAAAGTCAATATATTGAACTGCTCTTCACTTGATAAGTGGGTTGTGGGTGTTTATCTACACTGCTGTTTATATACACCGATTGGCGGGTCTCATTCAATGTCTCATGGAGAAACACGCGAGATCTCATCCAGTCTGGCAAGAAATATCGGTAATCTTGCAAGCGCTTCTCCTCTGATGGCAGAGGCGTTCTGAATCTAGTGGAATCCCCGGCTGAATGTCAAGGAGGTAGAGCTTTGAGTTTAGTATTTAAGCCAGGAATCTTTTAGTTAAAAAAGTAAATGGTAAATGTCCAAAATGGGCTTCACAATATAATTATTTAGGAGCTTAAGTTGGGTTAGGCATTGTTCTTTCATTTATACATAAATAAGCTTGATTTAATAAAAAATGGCCTTTATGGTCTCTAACAACATGGGCCGTGATAAATGTGGTGATTAAGTTTTAAGACTTCTTTACCGGGCTACTCGGCAGCTGTCAGACTTTATTAAACTTAGAAATAAACTTTAGACGCTTCTATTTAATGAAAGTTTCTTGATCTTGTATACTGTGGATTTATAACTGAACTGCAGTTGAATGACAGGTTGGTCCCATTGATTAGTGGTGCCACAGTTACATACCAAATTGATTAAGACTGCTACCTCTTGTTCTTGCTCTGTTTGAACCCTCTATTTGAGTAATCTGCCATGTTGAATAATGAAAAAACCGTCTATACTGTGCTCTGGAGCGATAAAGTCCAGACAGATTATTCTTAAGAGGCCTCACATTTTTTACATTTGCTTTCATTGACTTCCCCAATGACTCTGTGCTTGACTCAATGACTCTTACTGCCCTTTTATTCTGCTGAAAGCTGTATTGGAGCCAATACCATCATTTAAAGGTAAAGATCTCTGCCGCTAATGCTACGTGGACTCGACCGAGTCAATACTGAAATATATGACACTGGCTAAAGCTTTTTTTTATGTGCGGTTGCTTACCCTCTGAGGCATCTGTGTGCCTGAAAACTTCTCAAGTTTTAACTCAGCATCTGCCAGCATGTTTACAGAGCCTTTTTAACACTTTTTTTTTAACTTTCCAACACAACTTCAGAGATGCTCTCATTTCTGAAGAGTCTGTTGATTACTTCAGAAGCACTTGATTGAGTTCACTTGATGTTCCTTTCAAAAACAAAATTACCGACAACAAAATACAAGCCTCAATTATTGAAGCCACTTGAGGATGTGCATTTCTTTTTTTTTTTTTTTAACCATGAGTTCACATAATGTGCCAGTTTATCAAGAAGTCCTATCAGTATAAGACATTCATTTAGACTTCTTCAATTTAAGAGTATTTTTACTGCCTTTTACAGTTATGCTGTTACACATCTTTTACAGAAGATCAAATAAATCAACATGTGGATGATGAACTTGCAGCCAAATTAAAGTTAGTTTTCTATTGATTGAAAAAGAAGCACAACCTTTTTTTTAATATGAATTCTGATTGACTGATTAAGCAGCTACAAGCATGAAAATATAACAAATAGTTCTGACGACCCTCTTGCTGTTTACTCTGCAAACAGCAATTTCCTGGACTCAAACAAGCCGACATTTAAGTGCGAAAGCTGCAATTCCTCTGGTGGCCACTTGAGGCTGGTTCCAAAGGTTAGCCCTCCTTCCTTAGAGCCGTATATTAAAATCTTCTACTTAAAAGCACATCTATTGCTGTTTACATCTTGGTGAAGGTAAGTTTCTGTAGGTTGTTTTCTAATTTAGGGCCATTTAATTTGTATGTCAACACCAGTGTCTCTATCAACTATATCTAGGCTGAAAGCTACCTCTGTGTTTTTCCCATGGATTGTTGGGTGGGGGGGATTCTGTCTGAAGCTGTTTTTTGGGGATTAGAATTGTCTCTTTTCACTGATGTGGTCTGTTTAATTCACCAATGGCTTTGTCTCTACGTCGGTACCCAAATCAGGTCCATGAAGATGCTGACGGCAGCCAACACCAGGTATGAGGATTGTGTACTAGTTAGGAACCCACAGTAAAATCTCACCTAAATCCTCTATTCTGCAAAAGCTGAATCGATTTTTTTTTCCGCTAATTATTTTGGTCTTTGAGCCCAAAACTTTCATTCTGTCGCTCTTGTAGTGCAGTTTTCAACTCTTGCAGGCATCTGTTTTCACAGAAAGGCTCCCAAAACTGTCTGCTAAGCATGAATCAGCCCACAGAGAACAGTCGCACAAAACAAGTACTAACTGGGGAACCGGATTATTCTGCCATTATCATCTGAGAACAAAATAAAGCAGACCAAGTGAACCATTCATAAAGGAAAATGTTTGTCAACTGGGCTTTAGTATCAGATTAAATGCCTCAGAGAATAAAATATGATTCCTATTTCAAATACGAGTTCAAACTTGTTCCTTATTAAGGTTTACATTTTCCTTTGCGTTGCCAGAGGCTCCCACATAGTTTTGTAACTGAGGGGGCTTATTCATAATGCCGAAACACTAAACTTTATGTCATTTTCAACCCTGAAAGTACTGCATATCATCTCAATTTCATTAAGTCTGTGTTTGTTACACGGTGACTCCCACGAACTTATAAGATGTGAAACAAAGAGTCAGGAAAATTTCTAAGAATCTGACAGAAACAGTGTATTTTTATGAGCATATCTAGGTTACAATATGCATTTCTAGACCGCAGCAGAGACAAATGGGGAAAGCCAATTCACACACGACACCAAGAGGTTTTGATCTCTTGCAAGAGCCATTTTCTCTGAACCTCCTACTTAATGTTTTGACACTGTTATCCATGTAAATGCTTAGCACGGTGCTTATGAATACTGAGAGCTCTCTTTTGCTCATGAATTGTCAGAGTGGTTTGAGATCATTTAATTCTTAGGAGATGGTGATTAACACATGCATTCATTTCAGGTTATGCACTACTTTGATGCTGGCAGAGGGAGAGAGAGAGAAAGACCAGAAGAGGAGGAGAAAAAGATGGAGGAGGGAGGGGGAAACAAGAGAGAAATACAAAGAGACAGAAAGCAACACAGATGTGAGAGGCGAATCCCTCATGAGGGAGTATAACTGATGTGTGGCGATGTACAGAAAAGAGTCTTCATTAACACTGATCAGACTAAGTTCAGCCTGATTCAAAGACACTTTAAAAGAGCACTTCGCAATGGCCAACATTATCAACAGCGCTCTTAGCTGGACAAAGGCTGGAATGAAAAGAGGCGACTGTGTATTGCACAATAAGAGCTGCTGGTAATCACGTTCCAATTTCCTCTCCGACAACATTGTCCTTCATTGACCTCAATGCAATTAAAAGCAAAATTTCCACACATTTACGCGCGCAGCAAATGAGGGATTTGTAGTGTTTGAGCGGGGGAAGGGGTCCTCTTTATCTCTAAATAAATATGGCTGAATACATTACAGCATACATTCACCCGAATTCGAGAGGTAGAAATGTCTTGATTGTAAAGAGCGAGGATAAAGGACAGGCAGATGAGGAATTTGATGGTGGCTTTGCATTGTAATTAAAGGATTTAACTCGTAGCGCTTCCAGCAAGTCTCATACTGTACGGTGATATTTCCATCGTTTCACCGCTGATAATATGCCAACACCTTCCTTTGGGTAAATATCTCATTGTTTTTAAAGGTCATGTTCCAAATACTGATTCATGGCCCGTGTTAAAGGGCAGCTGTTTTTGAATGAAACCACAGCTGAGGTCATTTACACAGAGTAATATCCATCCAGGTCATATCCCTCACTGTAGCAGTTTATGTGTGTAATCTTCCAGCCAGCCAAACATGGAGATTTCTCCTGCATGTAAAAGTGAGGAGCAGCAGGCTCAGCCCTAATTTTCTTACCGTCTTCAGCTCTTGTCAGCGCTGATGGGTGTTTTCAGGAGGGACACTGTTTTCAAAGGGAGCATTTGGTGGATTTGTCATTTATAACTGTAATCATGGCTGCACGCTGATGTAGAGGCGGCGTTATCCAGTGCAGTGCATTAGTGAAATCGCTGCCAAAATGCCTCAAAAGTGCAAAAGTAAAAAGTTATTTTTCACAGCATGGTATTGTTTGCTAGCTAACATGATGTGAAAATAGTTGCCCACATGAATACTAGCACTTCTAAAGTAGGTTTTACTCTTAAAACCTGGAGTAGTATTTTAGTTTCCCACCTTGAGTGTAACATCACAAGATGATTGCCACTTTGGGAATATGGTCCATAAAAACTGAGAGCTCTTACATCTTGGTTGCAGTATGTTAGGGTGTTATGATATATTTTAAACAAGCATCATCAGACCACTTATGATCTCCAACTTAGCTTCTAAATTTAATTGGAACAACTTATTTTGATAAACAGAACAGGCTTCTATAACAGATTGTCCTCAAACAAGTATTCTGGTGTGTGCACATGGTAAGGAGGGAACCACTTCAGCCTCAGTTTGGGCCAGGAAAAAGCCTGATTTATCTCCTCTGGTATCAATCCATATCACTGCAATTTATCTGATGATTTCTTTTATCTATACAAAGCATGGCTCATCAGTAAATTGTGTGAAATGTGTTTTTCTTTGTTTGCAGATAAAACTTAAGAGCCTGTTAGAAAATATGCTGACACAAAAAAACCAGATGAGCAGATAAAGCCAAACTCATGTACACCTCTAACTGAAATAGAGCAGAAGACAGAGTGAGAGACAGGGCTGGAAGCACTCAAACTTTCATACTTCAAGCTCCCTATGAATGTGGTCATTAATTCATTAAGTGCTGTTTGTGGTTTCCAGTGCCAATTGAAACATTGAAGTATTTAGCCTGTACAAGAAGCCAATTAGTTGACTGTTTCAACAAAAAAGGGGGGTTTGTAACCTGTTAAGTGCTGTGCAAAAAAAAGGTAAACGCACTAATAGAGATTCATATCATAAACACTTAGACCATAGATCCTTGCTGCACTATTATTTTTTATTTTCAAGGACTACATTAGAGGAATTTAACATCTAAATTTCATGTTAATTTAAAAAGGTTTTTTTCTCTTAAAGTCAACTGCAAAAGCCAGAAGCTGCCTTCGTACTATTAGACAGCGTTTACTTTGGTAGAAGAGAGCTGTTCTGAGCTCACCTTGTTGTGGCTGATTGTGTTATCTCTTGAATGCAGGACTCTCATTAAGGGTTAAATCTGTCCAGTAAAGTCAGCCTTTTCCTTATCTGACTGTCCGAGGTATGCAGAAGGATCCCTTAAACCCCTTGATAACCAAAGAGACTTTACTCATGCTACTTAAAATTGTATTAATAAGTGGAATTCTGCTTCACTCTACCTCAGTTCATTTGGAGTTTCAATACTACAAACAGAACTTAGCTGTCTAACGAACTTACACATCCTAATGTCAAGCTCCTCCACCGGTCAGTCATTGACTTCATGCCACACCACATAAATGCAAGATTTCATAGTACTAATAAACATACAAATTTTCATTTTTTTCTATTTTCAATTTGTGATTTTCACTTAGTTGAACATATCTAATAAGCTACGACGGAGTTATAGGGCCAAATTAAGAAGAAAAAAAAATTTGTAAATTACTTACGAGAATAAAGTCATAATAAGATCAGTACTTACAAGAATAAAGTTGTGGTAAAATCATTACAGACAAGAATAAAGTCGTAATAAAATCATTACTTACGAGAATAAACTCATAAAAAAATAATTACTTACGAGAACAAAGTCGTAATAAAATCACTACTTATGAGAATAAAGTCATAGCTTATAGCTATTCTAACCTGTTGTTAGTTGTGAGCGCTGTGGAGCATTTAGATGAATTGACCCTCAGTAGCTTGGTTTCACAAACAAGGAGATAAATACTTTGACGTTTCAGCATCTCATTGTCCTAAGTATAAGGCCATATGCAAGAAATGCATCTTTTCTGCAGAAAGAACCAGGCGGACTTGTAGGGAATTATTGTTTTTGAGGAGGAGGAAATGGCTGAAAATGGCTGTGCAGAGGTTAAATCCCTCAATGCAGATGTTTATAGCAATAGCATATGGCTTTAGTTTATTATATGATTCTATATACCATAAGGTGTTGGTGCCTCTGCAGGTGTAGGTTGCTGCCGGTGTAGTGCCATCATTAGAGACAGATGCGGTGCTCATCGGAGCTCGACTCTCTCTGAATCGCGAATGTTGATCATCAGTCGGATTGTTTCTCGAGAAAACACAAAAGCCCTCTGAATGGCCCACTGATGCAGCAGCTGACAACTGCAGTTGACCAGTTCCAGCCATTTCCTTCTCCCACAAGCAGCTTTAAGACTTTGTTAACTTTATGACTTTATTCTCGTAATGATTTTATTATGACTTTATTCTCATAAATAAGGATTTTATTACTTTATTCTTGTAAGGAATGGTTTTTTTACTACTTTATTCTCATAAGTAATGATTTTCCCACGACTTTATTCTCAGAAGTAATTACTTTATCATGACTTCATTCTTGGAAGTAATTACAAAATCTAAAATTTTTTTTTCTTAATGTGGCCCTAAAAATCCGTCATTAATAAGCAGCTCAGAGGTGTTGTTGAGTTGGGTTTTTTTTGCTTCTGTCAGCATAGATGACAGTCACGAAGAAGTTGACGATAAATCAAACATGGAGACACCAAGGAAAGAGACAAGGAAAGCACTGTCAGGGTTTAAATAAAATGTGTGGACTTGTTTTGAATTTCTGACAAGCAGTGCAGCATGAAATTGAAATACTCAGGGAATGCAACATTCATAAGGGCTCACCTCACTCGCCACCATTCAGACATAGCATTAGAAGGCAATGCTATACCACCTTTACTGAAAAACCACACAGTGGACACAATCAGTTGGTCAAAGCTGCCTTAAATATTCAAATGAGCTATAAAAAATGGAGAATAAAACCACAATCCAACACCTGCTTCATGAGTGAAGACTTACGGTCATGTACATTGAGGAACACATGGGTTTTTGACGCATGTCCAGAACACAGTTATAAGTTTCAGCCTAAATAAATGTGCTCTTTTGAATTAGTCTGAAAGGATTTCCAGGCTCTCTGCAGCCTGCCTCAAGTAGGCCCTTAGGGAGCTGAACTTTTTGGCACTTTTGTGTTGGATTTATTTCCCAAGACTGGAGGTTGCCACTTGGTCAGGGCAGACTTTTTCTCTTGTATTACAGTGATTTAGAAATGTATGAATTCAGCTAAGTTGAACTAGACTTTGACACGAACAGTTCAGTTTGTCAGGAGTTTGGAGCCTGGAGTTTTATCACAGTGCTGCTTAGCTCAGGAGTTAGACTCCCCGCGTGTAGAAACCAAAATGACTGAAATGAGATGAAGAAACTGAATTTTCCTACGGGCAAAATGTGCAGTTGAAAAAAGGTCACAAATGGTTTTATATTGCAATATATGATGTGATATTTAAGTACTTGAGTACAGCAAAATGTTTTAACTCATATCAATATTACATTGTGACTCAAATATCATGCTAATGCTGCGGTCCAGTTCCAGAACTTGGAAGTTGGAATTTCCAAGCTTCAAGTCGGAAATTCATCTGGAACGCCACCCTGAAGGCGGAGAAAGTTGGACAGTGCTCACCAACCCCGGCTTGACGACAACGTCATAATCCAAGATGGCAGCGCAGTGCATCAACAATAAAGAGTAACAGTGGAAGCTCTCGTAATGTGTTATTTATTGGCACTTCTCTTTTGTTTTTGTGAAATTAAATAAGTCGTATTTGTGCTGCCCAATGTCTAACTGTGAACACGGTGCTATAGTGTTTGTAAGAGTAAAATACTGTTTTATGCGTTGTTTACCACTGGTATAGTCAACAACAACTAACAACAGCTGACAACTGCCAATGACAGCTGACAATTGTAAATAACAGCTAACAACGGCTAACAGTAGGCCTCCATCTTGGTTTTTCCGACTTGTTTACTGGAACGCTGTCAACTCCGGTGTAGCGTCATTGCCAGCTCCGACAGCTGACAGACTGTTGTCTTCTGTACATTTTTTGATTTCCAACAAACTTTCCTTTTAAAGTCACAGATGCCAAAACACGAGGATGATAAATGTGTAACACTGGAATTACCATCAACGGGCTTGCTTTGCTAAGATTATAGCCTCCCAGTCAAGGTTTAATGAGTAGAGAAGTCTGTGGACTTTCTGTCTTACACCTCTGAACTTAGATATTAATGTTATTTGTTATGAGCATGCTGTTCGGCCTCAGGCTACAGCAGGTAGTAGCTTTTTTGCTTTTGGAAATATATCTTCAACAATTAGCAACCCCATGGGTAAAAATCCCTTTTGGTATGCATCAATTCTTTTGCAAAGTTTGAAAAAGTCTTTGAAAAAACATGAACCCAAGGATATTAAGCTGTAATGCCTTTTATAAAACCACAAGCAACCACAATGAAATAAAAAGAGACCTAATGCTTAAGCTTTTCAGTGACATTACATTTGAAGACATCCTTCTGGATGTTAAAGCCAAGGCAGCGGTCAGCCCAACAAAATCAGCCAAACATGCAGGAGAATATCCTTTTATCATGACGCCCCTGGTCTGATATTTCATCTAAAAGGGAACATGCTCTTCAAACCTGGTATTTTTTGATCTGGATCAAATGTTGACATTGAAATATGTATGAAACCGAAGAGACATTCGAACCCTCACCAAATACATTTCTTAGCATTTTCTTTGATTTATCGAATTCTCTGCTTTCATGAGGATGCCCCAGAGCATGCAGAGCTGTGTATCTCTTAACCACAGGTACATTTGCAGAACCTAAATTAATTTGTAGTGCACCTTTTAGAGGGGAATCTTTTCATATTTTGCTGGAGCACTCTGACCAACAGCCATCTTAATAAATCTAATTTTCTAGTGTCCTTGAGTGTTGACAGTAGCTTATTTCAAAGAGAGGGAAAAGAAGAAAATAAATGTAAAAGTTGCCTGCTGGAGTGAAGCTCCCATGAGTGTTTGAAAGAAAATTCTATTCTGAATTTTCTTATGCTTCTGAAAAGAGAAAATACAATTTTTGTTATCAGTTGCATTCTGCGATGTCTGCGTGTGATGATCTATGGAGGGAATAAGATAGTAATTTGGGACTTTGGGAGCAGCTGAACAGGGTGGTGTTGGGAGTATCATCATGACCAGCCTGTCAGTATTCGTGTGGACAAACTGTGTGAGGATGATGGGGACAAAGGAGGCGATTAGTTGGACAGAGCACTCGTAATACACTCTCTGGGGACCAGTAAGTCAGGCCACTCAATGCAGCAGCCAGGTTCACTGAGCAATTAAGAGAGCCGGGAGAGTCAAAGTGGCTTAGCCTGATGCTCTGCAGCTCTGTGCCAGTGTTGAGAGCAGAGGGTCACTTTCAACCCCTATCAGTCCACCTGTGTGTGTCTTAATGCACCCATCCACGGCGGCCAGATGAACCGAGAAAAGAGCCAAAGGGACAAGTGGGGGCCAATGAAGTACATGGGAGGAATTATTCTCCCTTTTCCCAATAATTGTGTCTGACACATCCTTTGGCTTCCCTCCCAGATCACTAGCAATACATATATTTTTCTTTATACCCTTGTTAGCAATGGCTCCTTAATGAATTATTTATAGCTGGTAGGGTGAAAGGGGCGGAGAGCATTTCTCTCAGCGTAAACATACCAGTAAAAGCAAAGATGACAGTAATAAAATGATATGACAGGACCCATTTGCCTTTTCACCAAAATGGGTTTCAAAGTTTTACGAGCCACCCCTCTTGATCTGCAGAAACAACTATAGTCTTTCGCAATAGGATTCCCGGGAAACAGGTGCGTGTGAAATCACAGGAGTGAGGCTCCTTCTACAAATGCCATCGTGATTAATCTGGGATGCACAAACAATTGATCCTCGCATTAACAATCCTCGCTGCTGCATAAATGCATCGATTAAACCCTCTTAAAATGACATTTCCTAACACCATTTGACCCCCATGGTGGAGGAAATCTGAACGCAGCAACCCATTTCTCACCGTTTTAATGCGAAGACTACCTTGCCTTGCACATGCAAACCTTACTGTACTGGAAGCATTTTTTTACAGTAAGGCCCCTAGACAATCCTACAAAGATTCTTTTTGTTTAATTTGCTTTTTTTTTCTTCTTTTTTTCTCACCAGCCTGCAAGACAAGCAAGATTACAAGAATGAAAGCAGTGATGCCTTGAGGGGGAACAATTTCCAACATACCAGCAGCACATTCATGAGCACTCTCTCACCCAAAGGTCCTCCGAGAAATCTGTGCTCCAATTCACAGCTTCAGCAAGAATGTGAGAAATAACTGTCCTGGAATGAGGAATCAAGCTCTTTGTTATTTCAGGAGAAAATCGCGGCTTCATTGAAAGAAGCTGAACCGCACTCAGCTGCTCTTCCTCTCTCTAACAATGTTTATGTCCTGATGACTTAATTTACAGTCACTCTAATTAATTCTTTAGTTCCCCTTAAAGATATGTTCATATGTGTTAGGGTGAATTACTCTCACCCATATCATGATGCATGAAGTTTTTGCTCATCGAGACATCTTTGCTTGCAGAGTTCCAGTGCTTCTACATCGCAGGAGAGGGCAGCAATAGGTCAAAGCAGAGAGCCTGTTAATTGAAGTTGTACATAATAAAAGAAGGAGCTCGGAAAAGGGAGGGGGAATCTGTTCATTAATAATTGATCAAAGAGCCGTTAAATTGAAATGTGTTTGCATCAATTAATCATCCCCCACATGCCACTAATCAGCCTTTTCTATCGCAGCATCATAGCAATCTTGCAGACTCCAACAGTTGTGCAGAGCCTCGGCCATCATTCATCATGTCTGGCTGTGCTCTTAAAGCTGGCCTCTAGTCTGTGACACAGTGATTAAAACTGTATTGCCACCAAGCGCTACAGGCTTTACTCACAATCTCCTCAGAAAAATTGGCCGCAGCCTGTGTACAGTGTGAAACTTGATTACCATGTTTCTTGGAGTTATTGATATTCTTTGAACTTTACCAGGGTGGCGAGGCGTTCTGCAGCAGTCTGCGACGACACTTTGAGCGCTCGAAATGTTCCGCTCAATCACTGTCAGGCTCTACAATTACCTGCTTTCTGAGGGGGAGGACACCCTTTAGCAGTTTGTGAACAGTGCAAAACTGAATATAAAAGAGTGACTTTAAAGATGACTTCATTATCGCTAATGCTCAAAATAAGAAGTATGAGTGGCTTTTCAGATATACTGGCTTTAATACGCTTGTGGGATTAATCACACCAAGTGGGGCTGGAATTTAACCGATAAATCAACAAATATATAGATGGAAATTTTAAAAAAAAACAATGATAGGGAAATTCAAAGTATCATTTAGAAAAATGAGATTTTCTGGGAGGAAAAAAAAAAACCCAGGGAAGGATTTGACTCTCCCCCCAAAAAAAGTCAGAAGGAACTTTGAGCTTTCAGGAGCTCAAGGCACAAAGATTGTCATATTTCAGACCAGTCAGCCTGATAAACACAAGGATTAGCTGTGTCTCAGCTCAGGGACTGCATCCTTTATAGCACTCATTTCAAGATCGACTGCGTCGCATCGAAGGCTGTGCCATTTTGATTTCTCCTTCAAATTCAGGCCAAAAAATACTTTTCAAACATTTGTCTGAGGCTGAAGGATGCAACGGGTCTATCCTTCAGCTGGCCGAACAAATAACAAAAACAAACATGGCCTGGAGGAACTTTCTGTTCTTGATCATTTTGGCACCCCCTGTGGACAAAGCAGTTACCCTTTTATTGTTGATTTCATCTCATCCTTCTGAAAGTGATGCTGAGAAACAACAATGTTCCTCCTGTTATCTCTCTACAGTGACATTTATAATTCACTTTGAATGTTTGAAACAGAAACAAACAAAGGCTGTTTCTTTAGCATAGGACATATTGATGGGTGTTGTGCTTTGACATGTTTCCGTTACAAAGGTGGCTGCTAGCAACAACATTGATGAGGCACACTGATTAATTATTCCTAATTTGAAATGGGAATATATAACCATAAATCATGCTGACTGTATTTGTTTCTGTAATAAATGATAGGAGTGGTTGGCAGTAGCAGAGTGTCTCTACTAAATGGTTTCCACAGTAGACTTCCACAGGTGGCATTCACATTTATTTTCCTCAGACCTTATATAGGGAAAAAACTGGCAACGGGTTAAAGTAGAGAACAATAAATTTTTACTTATTAACACTTTTTTCAGACTAATGGGGCGCTCAAACAAAGCACAAGGAAAATCATCTACTCGCTTAATTTGCGTGAATCTAGATGCATGAATGAATTGTATTTAATCACTTCATTCGCGTGTCAACGGTAATTTCAATGGAAATCCCTGCCAATTCCACAGGTGGGATCAAGTGATAGACAAAGTTGTTTTTTTTACAGTTCACCAGGTAATCCGACCCCCTCACTCACTTGCCACCAGGCGAGTTCCTTTTTATTCTGGTTTCGGTAGTAGAAAGAAAGGTATCATATAATTCGGAGCACCTACACACCGACACGATCAGATTGTCCTCCATTTTAGATACCAGTATTTATACGTCACCCGGCAACCTTTTTGCTGATTAGTTATTGTGACGTGAATATCTGCTCAAGGTTAGATATATTCAGCTACCGCCCAATTCGCATCATTCGCGCCACCAGAGTAGTAGGAGCGTCCAATCATGTCTTTACATTGACTTAACATGTAATTCATTCGCGCGAATGATTTTACTTGTGCTTGGTGTGTGGAGACAGTAAGGATGGGAATCAAGAACTGGTTCCAGATGAGGACTAGTTTGATGCATTGATTCATTAGCCTTCCACTCAGTTCTGCATGCCTTGCAAAACAATGAAGGGATGCAGCGCGAGAGGCAGTCAGCGTGAACAAAAACCAAGGAGTCGAGGAAGTAAGTACGGCGGACAGAACATAGAAGTGGTGGCGTACATGACATAATGTAATGCACTGGCTTATGGTAATAAGCAGGGCTAGATGATCACCTCAAATTGCCCATCCATGATCGGTTAAAAAATGTCCATTAGTTGAGATTGAGAACAGGAGAGCACCAGTAGATATCATTAGAATTTCAATGCGATTTTATCTGATATATTTTTCTGAATGCTAATCCAAGTCACCTGAGGATAAGGTTATTACAATTGTGGTGTGTTCCAAAGAGTCACCTCCATCTAATCTGCCTGAAATCAGAGCCCACATCTTTAATTAAGCTGAAAGCACAAACTGATGCCTTTTTATATTTACTACATCAGTGAACATCCAGGTTAATCCAAGAAGGGATTACTTCTGCTGGCTGAGAATGACCACTCATGTAATAAACCCACTGGTAAGGTGACTCAGCCTTAGACAGCCTGTGAAGTTACAGTACACCACGGCTCGGCCAATAGCCACAGAAGACAGCCCCGACTAAGCCATGTTAGGAAACGTCCCAAACATCTTTATATAAAGTTTAATATCCCTGAGCTGTGTTTCGTGTCCGAAGCTGTTGACATGAAAATGATCAATGACAGTAGATCAGCCCCATGGGAAGTGCAAGATACACATCACATGATTAATGGCTTTGCCAGCTGTCATGAACTATACTGGACCAACAGGGTGAAGGCTTCATAAATCATAAGTCTTCTGACACATGAAGTTTCTGTGCACTTAAAAAAAAAAAAAAAAGACATTTAGTTACGTTTTCTTTTTTATCTCTGCATCACTCTCAGGAACATAACAGAATCCATTTTGCATCCCATTTTGCCTGTTTATAGTCGCTGTACTCCGTTGACAGTACTGCTGCTGCAAAATGCCTCCAGCCTGATGATGAATTAAACATGAAATTTAAGAGTACAAATAAGATGTCCCTCAGGAAAGTCTGTCATGTGCTGTCATGCTCTAATGAATGTCTCTTAAACCTGCATTAAGTGTTCACCACATGAGAAAAGAAAGACTCCAAAACAAATTTACAGCAACAGAGCCCTGATATACCATCAGCTTATCACGTGCTTGGGGCTAAAGCATTGCTATGAAATTGGCTGCTTACACATCCAGCACACACACAGCATCCCAAAAGTGTAGTTCTTTCGTCTCTACCTGTCAAAAGTAGGCTTAATACTCATTCACTTGGTAACCTTGGTAACATCATGAAGAAGACAGCAAAGGTGTTTTAAGATGTGGTTGTGGACCAGAATTAATAATCCGTTCAACAAGTTATTGATAGTTTTATTGCTCTAGGCCTGAAATTTGATCATGTGTGACAGAGCTGTAGCTACAGTTGATTCCAAAATACTATTATGCTACATTGCTCTACAACCTAAATGTAAACAAGCACAGACGACAGGTGGCGTCTTGTCACAGTCTGGCAGTATTTTGATGGAGAAAACTGAAGTTTTACATAGGCTGTGTCAGGGTGAACTGGCATGAAACTCTCTGACTTAATCAATGTTTCACCAACATGGGTATGTGGATATTAATCTGCAAGGGGGTCTGAAGGCTGGTGGTGCTAGCTCTGCTAATGATAGCTCCATTCAGCCAAGCCCTTAAAACCTGCAGACTCTGTGAGCACCTTGTTTGGTTAAAAAAAAAAAAAGAAAAAAAAAATTCCACTTCAGATTATTTTTTCAATTTAATGACAAGATATTGATTGATGAGATACCAAGATAAAAAAATAAAATAAAATAAAAAAAATTTCCTGCGGGTAGCCCCTTAACTTGCAAAACCAGCCTTTGCTCTAGGAGATCAAATCAACTCTTATTTTAGACCCTGCATGTCGTACGGAAAGACAATTAAAAGCTATTACTTTATTACTTTATCATAACTTTAAAGTTTGTTATTTCATGAGTGATAGGTGAACTAAGAAACCACACTGTTGTTGTTTTTTTTTTGTTTTTTTTTAAATTTGGTGAATCTTTAGTGTTAAAAACTAGTTATTGATAATTCAATTTAACACAATCTGATGAACAGTTTGAGACCGATTAAAAATCAGGGGGTATAGAGTGCATCGTTACTATGCTTATTACTTCCCCTCTAAAATTTTGAGTTGATTTTGTGTCCAAATTCACACAGATTTAAAAAACTGCAAAACACTTGTAACGATCAATTAAATCTGATGAAAAGAGAACAGAAAAGCAGGTGAATAAATCTTCAGTTTCTTAAATGCTTTTCACTAAGAAATTGTCCTCTAGTGTGATGTTTTGTCACACTACAAAGAAAAGGTGTCCCACAGCAGACCAATCAAAGAACCACCAGATTTTAACAAGCTGCCATTACATTTCTGCTTAGATATCCCTAACTGAATCATTATCAAATCGAATCAAATAGGGGCATTGTGAATCATTTCAGACTATCAGTGGTGATAGCCTGAAATGATGAGAGTGGTTGTGTTAATGATTGATTGATTGATACCCTGCCGTTCTCACTGATGGTTAGTCGGATTTTAATTTCGATCCATACAGAGAGGAAACGTGCTGCTCTGGAACTTCCCTAATCGGTTCACCATACAGCCCAAAAGGGGCTAAAAGATCATAACAAAGTAAATCGTAGTTTTAGACATGATGTGACTTTTTTCACATTGAGTAATTGTTTTCCAATAAGCAGCAGAGTTAGTAACCTTACTGAGAAGCCTCTTTATCTTACAGCTCAGAGTGGCTGCTCTTTTTTCCTCTCACTACTTTCATCAATATTTTTGGCACAAAAGGCAAAAAAAAAAAAAAAGAAATCATTGTCTAGTTTTGACGATTATGTTTCAATGAACAGTTGTGGTTAGTCCTTACTGCTGTGACAAATGCAGTACATTTCCTGGGGCTGCTTCACACAAAGTTCAGGCCGCTGCCGTTGGGTTTGTTTCATGTGAAGCAACGGCAGTAGGAAATGTAGCATTTGCATTAACAGACTCTTAGTATGGTTTCTCATGTGCAGAGAGGGACAGTGAACCCTGAGGCTGGTTTCACTGAGGTCAAATGACATACTGTGATGGTTCCTGTGAATCCTCTCTACACATAAAAGCAATTTGAACTTGACCACTGACTGTTGGACTTCAAACTTCACAGCTACTCACAACTACTAAATACAGAGCTAATCTTTATTTTTGTTTTATCTATCTATCTATCTATCTATCTATCTATCTATAAATGAGTTTTGAAATAGCACATACACCTGCATAGATGACCTCTGCACATACAAGATAAGAAATATTGCAAATAACACTAACAAATTTCAACAGGAGCCCACTTTGTTTCCCCAGGGACCCCTCTAAAATCACTACCTGTAGGTTTCAGGGACTCACTATCAAGCCATCAACATGACTGAACCACTAAGAAGGGATCGGCGCACCAGTCGAGCGATCAGCACATGCTGCTCGCCCATTAATGGCTTACTTTCAGCCACTTTTCAATCAAGGTGCTTTTGCTTTAGTGAGGAACACTTGCTTTCAATCCTTTCAAAAATAAGCTTGAGATGCTGTTCTTTTCCTTTTTCTTTTTTTTTCCTGCACTTGCATCCAACAAGGACCATTTTGCTGCCCTGCGGTCACCATAACTCTCCTTAATGGCAAGATTAAAAAGACCAGTCACCTGGAGTGCGACTTGGGAATGATTATGTATTGACCCTCCATCTACTGACGCATACATGTGCACAAGGTCACTACTCAAACGTGCGTCCAAGCAAAATATTGGGAAGCAAGAAATAGATAGAGATAGGAAGTAAAAGAGCATTGAACCTTTGCTAACAGTGTGCAACAGTGGGTCGTTACAATGATAATTACACTCATTACCTTAATATTCCTCCTCCATTCTGTCCAGGCTGATCTGCAGCTCTGTTGAGACCCATCAGTTTCAGACCTATCCAGACTGCACCCACAATATGGTGAATTAAATGATGTGCAATAAAAACTTAAAATAAAATGTACTTCATGAATCTGATGAAAGTGCTCATCTGACCATGCCTTTTATCGGGCACGGCTATTTTAAAAATAAAAAAAGACAGGTATACAGGATTTGTTTTTAATTGCTAGCATTCCCGCAAAGGCCAGCAAGCCCATTTAGCTCTTTTCCACGTCTTGATTTTATTCATCAATCTGTAGATTCACAAGTTAAACCTCAACATTTCTTGAATATTACGGCCGCTGGAAATATTTATATACAGACATCTGTTAAAAGGATTCTTTCTTTCCTTAAAGCCTTGAAGGAGAACTTGCCAAAATCTCCGCAGTGCAAGGTTACCTATCAAACCATCTCCTCGATCCTGTTCTCAATCCAAACGACAGCTTGTGTGAATTTAACAGGTCTTCGATTTTAATCTAACATGGCAAGGTCAGCACACAATGGAGAGCAGCTACTATCACTGAGTGCATCTGCAGAAATATTTGCCAGTGCCAAGAGGCAAAACAAAACAAAAACATTGGAAAGACATCATAGTATTAAATAAAGGGTGTCAAAAGCTGAAAATCTAGCTCTCTGTGACCTGGGAAATGAAATGAGATGGCTTAAAATTGATATATTTACAGAGTTTTTCACATTCATTTCTCTGTTTATATGCCCATGGCTGTTTGAGGTGAAATTTGCTCTGTTATAATTGGTTCATGTTTTTAACAGCGTACTTTCAAACTCTTGTAATCGACTTGTGATGAGCACAGAGCATATTTCATGTTTTCTTTTTGGCCAGTGCAATCTATGACAAGTGCAGGACCAGCACAGATAAGCTGGTGTAGACTCTGAAAAGATGACTAGATGTTGTAGAGTCTCCCCGGAGAGAAAATGTGTCATAGTAATTGTCAATGTTGTTGTCAGGCTGTCTGCCATTACTGATTTGTTGGACTACTATCATTGAAAACATTGGAAGTATATGTTTGTTACATTATTGTGCACCATTACAACTAGGTAGGGCTGCAATGTTATTAAAAAAAAAGAAAAAAAAAAGATTGTTTTATTGATATTGAGATTACAATTATTCACCCCTAGCAGTGGGAGAAAAAATCGATACATCATAGTATTACGGTATTTTGTCTGGTGATATATCGTATCGTCTCATCCACCAAGTATTGATTTTTCAATCTAATTGCTAATATGACTCAAAGTCTAAGATAATGGAAAAATAAATTCAATTGTCTGTCCAGTGAGGTCGGCTGAGGTGACATCATAGACCGAGAGAAAGGGAGTACAACAAACATGGCAGCATCTGGAGGACATTAGGAGTGCAAGCAGGGTACAGATGAGATGGACATGACACATGAGGTTTCCAAGAAGTACATGAAAACAAAATATTGCGTCAATAAGACAAACTTAAAGGAAAGACAAATGCTGAATCAGCTAAGCAGCTGAAAAAAATTGTATCGTATGTCGTATCACAAAAGCCACTGTATTGCAATATGTTTAACATCACAGGATTATTGAATTGTGACCCAAGAATTGTGATAATATTGTATCGTGGGACCCCACGATTGATTCCCACCCTTATTCACTACATAATTCTAGGGGAAACACTGTGTGGGTCTGAAAGGGCACACCTCTTGGCATCTCCTGTTCCTCTCCCTGCTCTCCTCTCTCTCCCCCTGTGGCTGCATGATCATCTATACTACTGTAGTACAACACAATGACGTTACACTGCACCAAGATTAATATCTGCTGCATCCTTGCACTTCCAAACTTACATGATGCATGCACGGTACAAGATAAGACCCTTCACACAATGAAGCAGGTCTTGGTAAACATAAACATAAAAATAATAATTTGAGAGCTGTATTTTCTCTGTCACCTATATCTATGTCATATGCATGAAAGTTATACAATGAAGGTACTTTGTCATCTGGTAAAAGAAGTGACTGGACCATGATGGCATAAATCATGTTGACTGCAGGTAACCTTAATGTTAAGTCATATTAAAAATTTAGATTAAAAAAAAAAAACTTTGTTTAATGTAAATTTGATTGTTTTCTAAAGCTTTACTATAAAAAAAAAGCTTATCTACAGGTAGCCTCTGTCAAATGACCAGTTGAGTGAAAAATGATTGATAGTAAACTTATCTCTTCACTCTCTCTCGTATGAAAAACAATCTTGATGACTCCTATACAGCCGACTATATATTTTAATAATAGGTTTGCAGTCTGATTTTGGGTTAAACTTATTGAAGATAAAAGGCTGACAACAGCACCTCCCACAGCTGTTACGTAGCCAACACGCAGCATGTGTGAACGCTGCAACAGAACAAGCTGGGGCCATCACGAGCCACAGCTGTCAAGCATCCAGTCGGAAGCCGGCTCAAAATCTGTTTGAAGGGAGGGGCAGAGTACATGCGCTGCTGAAGGAAGAGAGGGAGGGTGTGCTTCATTCATCTTCCGGGACAAAATGAGAGAAACATGCAGAACGACACAGCAGGCAGCATAGTAATTACTCAGTCTTGATTATCATATTTTCATGATCCCGAGGAGCCATAATCAGGATTCAAAATTAAAATTCGATTAATCGCCCAGCCCTAGCATATGAACACATCATCCAGTAGAAGAGCTGCGATAGCCACTCAGCGGTGTAGATAAGCACACTTATGTTGTGACAATAACAATAACACATGCTGGAAGGAGATTGTCTGCTGCAGAGAACAATCAGGTTGCGATTTTGACATTCAAAGTTTTCCTCAAACCGGCTTCAGTCTTTGATGCAAAGAGCTGAAGAGGTGGAGCGACGAAGGCAAGCAACATAAAAAAAAAAAAAGACAATCATTCCTCCACAAGGTGCAACTGTTTCTTCTACAAAGCCACCCTGTGGTGACAGGATTGGACTCTGCGGCTGAACATTCTTGTAAAAGAGCAACACGAACAGTGGAGATAGTGTAGTGTTACATCAGCTAATGAGCAGGGCAGTCCTTAAAAGCTTGCACAGACCAGGCAGTATCAAAGGAGGCTTTGGATGTATATTTCAGCCAGCAGCAGAGATCGTGAGGGAGTGTGGCTTTGCAGTTTGAGTTGTCTGCCTAAACTGTCTTGGAGGCCTCTCAGCTGAAGTACAAATACAGAGGAGGAACTATCCTAATTTGAAAAAAGACCAATTTTCTGTGGCTATAGGCCTGTTTAATTCTCATGAGACACAACCATGTCTTGCAATCTTTCAGCTAGCTCTACTCACTTACAGATGCATACTGTTACCAGGGAACTGTGATCCAGCTAAAACAAATTGAATAGATTTATTGCTTATCCATAGGTTGTTAAATTTTATTGTTAGCCTATTAAACAGGAACTTACAAACCACTATTTGGAAAAGCCAGCTCTCTGCAGCAGTGCTCTCCTTCATGTCATTTATGTCCGCAGTGTTTGGACTTATCCAGCCATCTAATGATGAGAAAAGTCTTAGTATCAGAGGTCTGGGAAAACTACAAAATAAAAGGCTGTAATCATCACAATTATATGTCCAGGGGCTGACATTGAAAGAGTGTTATTGTGACTGGTAGAGCCAGGGCACAACATCCTCATTTAATGCTGTGTTTCAGGCTGTGAACAGCGAGGCCTGACCCTTTGATTACACCGGAGACGAGGACAAAGGCAATCAAAAAAAAAATAAAGAGAGAAAAGAAAAACTCTTCCACCGCTGTGATTAATTCTGCAGGAGCTGAGGCTTCCCAATGCTTTTTTGATCATATCAGATAATTTCTGTCAGAGTGTCGTCTAAAATAAATAAATCAATATAACATTAAATGAAAAAATAAAAGCAGCCCAAGCCCCGTTAGGCAAGAGGGGAAAGAAGAGTGTTAAATCTTTGGAGATGAATCAACACTCTTGGGACACTGGACTTTTTTGGAATCTGTTACCAATTGGCTTCCACAGTTATTTGAGTTCAATGATCCTATCTTTAATCACAAGTGTATTCAAGAGAGAGTCATGATTTCAAACACTTCCATCAAGTAAATGAACGCTTCTCAGATGACAACTCTATGATTTTAACTAGTGCACCGTAAGATAGGTTATGTGGGCTATAGGTAAAATCCATGCAAATTTTATACATCAAATATCTAAGTCAGTAAATTAAGTATATTATAATCAGTACATTTAACATACATTAGCAAACGAACTCAGTTAAATCTAACTCAAGATACTGGGTGTAATATGCAACATGGGTCGACGTTTTCTCTGGTTTCAGACTAGGTTCATTCTCCTTTGGTTTTTACACATTGTTGTCTATTACTTTATAAATAAATATGTTTATGGTTTTGTTCGGTGTAGCACAAGAATGGTCAGTGACTCTGTCAAAACTGTAGCCCTGCCTTTGCTGTTAAACTAGCTAACCTCTAAGAGTAAGCAAACTTACACATGCAATACTGAGACCTTTGTGAAGTTTTAAGACTAATTATAATCTCCATTTTTAAATTTCTTTTTCTATACTTAGTTTCTAATTCTGCGTTCCAGTTGTACTTGGAAGTCAAGTTTTCTGAGCTTCGAGTCAGAAATTCATCCGTGAACTCCCCCCTGAAGTTGGATTTCCAACTCAGAAAGTCAGACAATCCTCACTAACCCCTATTTGATGACAACGTCATATTCCTAGATGGTAGTGCAGAGCATCAACAGTACAGAGTAACAGTAAAATCTCTCATTATGTATTATTTATTAGCTCTTCTGTTTTTTTTTTTTGTGAAATTAAATACATGGTATGTTGTACTGCCCAACGTCTAACTGTGAACACGGTGCTATGGTGTTTGTAAGAGTAAAATACTGTGTTGTGCGTGGTTTACAACTGGTATCACTAACAACAACTAACAACAGCTGACAACCACTAACAACAGCTAACAACAGCTAACAACAGCTAACAACAGCTGACAACCGCTAACAACAACTGACAATTGTAAACAACAGCTAACAACAGGTAACTATAGGCGTTCATCTTGGTTTTCCAACTTGTGAAGTGGAACACCATCAACTCAGGTGTTATGTTGTTCCCAGCTCTGACATCTGACTTCCGAGGTAACTGGAATGCAGCATAAATACTTGCTCTATGCTTGAGACTTTTTTCTTCCCTTTTTCTTTGTCTCATATGGCAGAGTCTACATAATTCAATAATTCTGTACAAAACAAAACTATCAGTGTGTACCATACTAACTTACAGTAAAGTACATTTAAATGAAATGATCACATTTATCTTAAAATTGAAACCTGAACTTTTTAAAATTTACTGTCTTTTTTTCACTTTTCTTGCCTGATTTCAATGAAAACTACTGAGTTATTAGAGGCTTTTATTATTTAATTTCAAAGTCTTGAACAACCTTGGCTTGTACATTGGATAGCATTTTTGATTTGGCCGTCAATAGAGTCCACCTTTTCATTCCTGGGTTGTTTATCCAGATTGCTGATTGCGTTTGTATTCTTTTACTCATTGAACATTTGGGAAATCAAAGTCATTGAAACAACCAATTTTGTCTTCAAGGTCTAGCAGCACTCTGTTTGGGTAAACCTTACTTCTCCTGAAAGAGTAAAAGTTAATCAGTGCAATAAAAATGATTAAGTCAATAAAATAGTCTCCTACTAGCAGTAAGCTATAATTATAAGTAATAATCACTCATTTCAAAGGGTAATTTGTTGTGCTATCTGCTCAAAAAATATAAAGTGGGCTCTATCCAATGCCTCTTGGTATATTACACTTAAATTATAGGGTCAAACTTGGGTAAATTTTCCTGGGTAGATTCTGCTGGTTGTTGTTTTTATTGTGCACACAGATTTGAGCCTCAAATGACTTTACAATATATATATAAAAATATATATTAATAATTAAAATGTGTTCATTCTAAATCGCTGAGACAAACTAAAGCACAGGAAACTCTTAAAGGCACTGCGTTTTGTCTATTCTATGCAAGGCTCCTTAGCAGATAAAAGAATAAACAGAAATTCACAACAGAAGAAAAATAGAGGTGGGAGTTCAGCTATGCACTATGATAAAAGCAGGCCGTGTTGTTTTTTTCTAAATAAAAACAAATGGGTGAGATAAAAAAAAAAACTCTCATAGAGAGAGGGGAACAACAAGGAGCTTCAGGTAATACAAGGCGACGCAAGACACATTTTAAAAGATACTAATAAACACACCCACGATCACAAGATGAACATGGAGTTTATCATACACATATCAAAAGTAACAAGTATAAAGTAAAAATATATTATAAACATTTGATTAAATCTAATCATTCCAGTTTGTTTTTATGCTAATGTCACATTATTATCATTATTATTATTATTGTGAATAGCTACCTCTCAGAGGCACAAAGTGAATCACAATTTGTTTTATTACTAATTTTTGTTCCCTCTTAAATATTGATGTTTAGTTGACTTTCATTTGCATAACTTTTCTGTTTTTAATCCAACAGCAATCTATAGAAATTTGCATTATGTGGCTGCACAATTCAAAATGGATCCTAAACTAATATTTTATTTTAAAACATGGATTGTTCTTAAAGTTCTTTTATTTCATTATTAACCTCAATTGTGGGTTTGAGGAATGTTTTCTACTATTTTACAATGAGACAACTTTAATACTAACCTCACTGCTGCTGCTGTGGCTGATTATTGCCTTGCTGTCATCTCGTAACCAATGCTTCCTGTATCTAACACTTCTCTTTGATTATTCATTTGTGGTCTTATTTGCTGCAAACAGGAGTTCTATCTCTATTTTATTCATCACTGAAATCGCTCCGTGGCGTACAATTGCAAACAGAGTTCTTGCAGATGGGCCTGTACGGATGTGGTCAGGTGGTGTGAGCCACAGGAATGAGCTAGAGGACGGGGGGGGTGAGGTTTGGGTGGAGGGTGCACCGTCTCCTCTGTGAAAAATTATCTGTGACCTCTCTTCTGAAGGCAGACAAACAAAATGATGGAAAAGGTGTTGAGGCTAATGCTGTGGGTTGTTAACACTGCTGATTTTGGTGACCAGACTCTACCCCAAGGTCTACATGTGGTTCCAGTTAGAAGAGGCCTTGCGGTTTTGAATAGCAATGACCCTAACTGCTTGAAAGCTGTTCTGAATCAGGGACCAGGAAACATCCTTCCCGGTGTGTATATTTTGCTTTTGCAGGGCTGCTTTCTCTAAAACATTTCAACAAAATCATCAAGATGCTTTGAAATCCACACAGCAGAAACGATTACTGAATATATTAGTGCGTAACATCTGGAATCATTAAATTTCACTTTTTTTGAAAGAACTGTTAAAGTTACCAGCCCAGTACAAAACTTGAAACAAGCTGACAGGTGGATGTGACTTGATATGTATGCTAATCACTCTTTCTTCTGCGGTGAGACATAAAGGCCTGTGAATTATGAATATGGAGGAGTTTCATCGGCTCCGGCTGCTTCAGGACACCTGGCTATTACGCTGCCACAAACCTGCTACTTAGACAAGTTTCCTCAATGATGCCTCTCTGTTAAACCTGCAACATCTACTTTTAGTGTTAATTATACCCGAGGTTTTGTAGCTAAAGGGTAAATAATAAGCACTAAACACAGAAAATACTCCAGAGTCCATTCTACAGAAATGAGGGACGGCACAGATGCGAAAGCCAGTGGCTGCAGCAAATCTTTAAAAGACAAAAAAATACCTTTTGTTTGATTAGGAGCCATCTCATGGGAGCTGCCTATAGCATCTCGCTGCCCGTCATTACAGACGAGCAGAGAGAGGATCAGAAGAAGGAGAATGAAAGCTTAAGTCACTGAATAATTATCATCGTTCTGTAACTTTTAAGTCTCCACAGCAGAAGCGCACACTTGTCAGCCTCTTTGCACACAAGAGCAGTTTCATACACAGGAGACAGCTGCACTATATGTGATGCATTAAAGTGGACTCATTATTTACCGGTTTCTATGATCTCCTCTGTCTTAATCACTGTGTGAGAGGGGCTTTTTTTTAAGAGGAGGAATCATCTGATGTTGGTAATGTAGAGGAAAAAAAAGGAATCATTTCAGTCCTGGATTTTAACACCGCAGAATTAAATATGCGCTTGCCAGGACAATAAAAAGCACACATGCACACACACAATGCAGATTCAGGCAACAATGATCATAGCTGTGTCCAATTCCCCCCTCCCCATCTCTAATCCTGGAGGGATATTTTCTCATTTCTGGCTCTTGCGGTGAGCCAGGATGCAGGAATGCAGCAGCTAGCATCCAGTAAGTGGTGCCCTGTAGCTAACGCTGGGAGAGCCCCGGCTAGCCCCATGTGTTCTGCTAGCAATCACAGCTGACTGAGTCACAGACCACTGGAAAATGTCAGATAAACATCACACTGGGAATGAGCTTCCTCCCCCGATCCCTCTCTCTCTCTCTCTCTCTTTCTGTCTCTCTCTTTCTCCCTGGCAGCATAAGTGGTTTAAGATTAGCTCCAGAGAAGGAGCCACTTATTTTAAATGACACCATAAGGGTCAAAAGGCCACATAGAATATACAATATTAGATCGGGAGAATACAGTGCTTAGTGGATCAGATGACTGCAGTACATGCCAGGATATGTTGTGGGTTTCGCTCTGGTTCAAACGCCATGCTGCGTGTTATTCTGTCTCACCAACATCTCTGCTGTCATCCCAGATTATGTACGACGCAATAAAGGAGGAAATCTAAAAGAAACAAGGAGGAACTGAAGCCTGAGTCACTGCTCTGAGTAGTTCAGCTGTAGAAAACACTGCATTAGGACTAACCCCAGATTTGGAATCACTCTCAGTCATCTCGATTTACACTCTCAGACAAACATTCTCAAAAGCTTGTTGTAATTTCCTGCGAGACAGTAAAAAACAGAGTCAGGAGCGGCTCTCACTGCAGGCAGCTACTGTAAATCACATGAGGGCAGCTCTGATATTTCATTTGTGCCGAACATTTCTCTGCTCATCGACCGGTGGGAGAAAGTAGCCTGTGAAACATCTCTTCCACTTCCATGACGTATTACACAAACTCCAGGCTGCAGTGCGAGAATGACTTTCACCATATAACATTTTTCTCTGTGATAATAGCCTTAAAGTTGGGAAAATGGTGGACATAAAGAAAGAACATCATAACTTTTGGCAGGAAGTTATTTATATATATTTAGCCGTACATTTATTTAGAAACTCGACTTTAAAGAAACATGTACTTTATATGAATTTTCTGACATAATGCGACTATGTACTTGTACCACGTTTTAAATAGTAGCAAATTTTACTTCTACTACTGCTTATAGTCGCCATAGTTACTTAATTTACAGTTAATTGATCAATCAATGTTAAAGCAGTGTGAAAATAATCTGTTTTATGTACACATATAACTCCTTAAAATGCATAAATGTATTATGTTGTGTACGCTTTTGTGTTTCAGCGTTTGTTTCCCACTTCAGTTTGTGACTTGATTAATTTGATTATCATTATTTGTTTGATCAGTTTGTTATTTGATTAATTTGATTATCATTTGATTGCTTGATCAGTTTGTTATTTGATTATCATTTGATTGTGTGATCAGTTTGTTATTTGATAAAACTCCTTGACATGCCACTTTTCCATTTCTATTCTGTATGGAAAAATCTTGTGTCTCATATTTATCACCTTATTTCATATCTTTAGTTGACAATCTGATGTTTTCATTGACTGATAGGCTATGTTTGATGTCTATTCACATCACTATACAATTCAATCTAACATTTCCAGCTCTTTTAAGGGTTGGGTCTCCAGTAGAATGTACTTGAGTTGAAACTGGTAAGAATCATCCCCCTCTAACACAGTCATCCCAACTCTCAATTCCTTGAGCCATTTTGTCAATGAATGTAGAAAGATTACTACTATTTTAACATTAGAAATATTACCGCAACTTTCACGTTTAGCGGGTCTGACGGAGGGGCGTCCGCACCACATGGGGCGACGCATGGAGCCACACACACACGCCAAACATTTCCCTCCCTGCCGGCGTCGCTAATTCCCCACTAAACAGCGCTACTTTTCCTTCTCCCTTCTCTGTTGGATAGGGTAACCAAGGGTACACACTGGAGCTCTATCGGCTAACCTTAACATACATTCACATTAGATATTCACATTCATCCCTCCACTTACTTGCCGGAAGTCCGTTCGCGCCATAATGTCGGATCACGTCACCAAATGAGGAAATGGAGCGCATGATTTCCGTGTGTAAAATAGGTGTGTATGGAGGGTCAAAGTGGTCACATGATGCAAGGAAAAATAATTCCCTTGTTACTTGCCATGAATCCCTAAAAAATAATGCTAATGTTGATTTATGTAAAAACTTAGTGACAATGGTTAAAAAAAGGTCTGAAGGTTAAAAAAGTTTTAAATGTGAATAAATGATTTTTTTTTAATCTTATGTAACTGATTATGCCCACTGGGAGGAGCTAAGGGGGTTTAAAAGAAAGGCTTCCTGGGCCTTTCTTTCAATGAGTCTTGAATTTGCTGTGTGGGTAAGTGCCAAACTGACTTTTGTCGTGCTGCTGTGTTTCTGTTATGTTTTGTTTTTTCTCTTGAGTGAGAATCTTGAGTTATAGCGGAACTCTTGCCTTGTTGGCATTTTCTCATTTGCCTTGTACATTTTGTAAAAAGTATTTCACCATTTTTTTTGCACTTGTGTTTTCCACTACGCCTGTGTTTTTCCACTATTGTAACAGTTTGAGCGAGAACCCCGTGACAGGGGGGCTTTGCACATAATTAGTAAAATACTCTAGGTGATGTGGCACCTGTGAAAATGACACTTTTTTTCCTTTTAAAAAAAATGACAGCAGTGAGCAGCGCTGGTGACTCTGGTGCGATTTCAGTATCATCCCTAAGCGACATGGACAGCTCAGTCCGAGGGATTGCGTTATATAATTATTATCTTTGTGCTTTAGTAACAATAACATGGGTACACACTTGGTTTTCCACCATGTGCACTGTCATCAGAACAAAATATCTGTCCCAAACAATAAAATCCACAATCCCCCCCCAAAGTTTTTTTTCACAACTCGACTACTGAGTAGAATATACAGCAATCAGCTGTGGGTGACATGTAAATCTACATATGTTGATACAGGATAAACTTATCATTTAGTCTTTGCACATTCAGTTTAACCACTCGTATCCAAGTGCTGAGCTCAGTCCTACAAACTGCAGTTACTCAAATGTCCACTTGAGGCTGACCCTTAAAGTCAAGAAGCTCCATTAGGTCCCATGTTAAAAAGTCTACATGTATATCTGCAGCATGTTTACATCCTGGTTCAAACAAGAGTTACATTTTGAAGCATTTGGTTTGATTGTATTAGTTTTTACAGTTGTGCAAAAGTTTGCATAGAGGGTGTTGCTGAGTTTACAGACTGGTGTCTTCTTTTTAGCTGTTTGCCAGGAGTGATAATGCCCTCTCAGTTCCACCTCTTTGCCGTTTGGTTGACCAAAAGTGAGTTTGAGTCAGCACTCCTTATACGGCGACTTCCATCATTTAGGTTCAAAAAGCCTCTTCAGAAACCAGCGAGTGAGGTCACTGAGACTGCGTCTGTGCTCTAATCCCCTTCTTAAAGACTCAGCACTTCCAGTTTCCCAGCCTCAGAACCAGCTGTCTTTCTGCTTTCATGTCTTAGAAGAACAAAGGCGAAGTTATTGGTCCATTTTTCAAGACTTCTTCGGTAATGCACTAACTCAGCAGAGCCCCAGCCCTTCACTGTATGGCTGCTGCCGCTGCACAGAGCACGGATGAGTTACTAGAGGTGCAGTTCAGCTCCTCCTCCTCTTCTTCTTCTTCTTCTTGCCTGGCATTCACTCATGGTGGCAGCCGGTGATCATGGCAACGGCGAGTCTTTGACGGGGGCCAGTCAGGTCCAGACCAGTCCAAGCTGCAGTAGTCTGCCGACCGCGGTGCTGAGGCACTGTGTTTAATTAGGCCCATCCTGCTGAGCTGCTGCTGTTTATTTCCCCTGTGACACTCGGCTGATCTCTGCTGAGCAGCCAGAGAGAGAGAGAGAGAGAGACAGAGATTCATTATGCACCCTCTCCAGCACAATAGCACCTATAGTCCAACTGCTATAGAACCATAAAGTTACTCACACATACACAGTAAAGCATATGACCTCACTATACTTTACTTTATACACAGTCATTTTCTGGTAAATTGAATTCCATGCACACATACAACCACTTTTGAAAGAGACTATAGCAGCTCAAAGTGCTCAGCTAGTGATCCTCTAGTCTTAGCCTGCACTCCCACATTATCTCTGGAGTAGTGTGCTAGCATCACACACCTTGAGAAACACTTTAGAGGTCTTGGGAGCTAAGATAACAAAGCACACGGCTGATATTAACCGTGTCATCACTTGGAAAATAAATATGTGTTGTGTGTCATGTTTCCCGCTGAGAGAGGCATTCATCACTAAGAATTTTGACATTTTTGGGGGATGAGCTTTCATGCTGAGTTAAAGGGATGATTTCTTTTTGTTTTTAACTAGTGTTACAAGAAGCACTTGTCTGAAGTAAGCATGAAGCAGTGTGGGGTCAGGTCAGTCTCTTTGTTGAGAAAGTGGCCTGTGAACCAGACCAGGAGCCAGGATGTTTTAAAACTGAAGATGAAATCATGTTGGCAATGGTGGCACTGGGATATCGACATTTAACATGGACAAAACATTAGGAACATATGCATATTTACGCTATCCAGACAATTTATTGGAACCAGCTCATACTCGTAGATGCAAAAAAAAACACCACTGTTTTCATCATTTTCTATGCAATATTATATATAATATATGATTAGGATGGATATGAATTAGGGTTACCATTTTCCGACTTCCCTAAAAGAGGACATGACGAAGCAGGGGCGGAGTCACAGAGTCACACAAAGTTAATTTTGAGAGTTTTTCGGTTCAGATCGAGTCTCTTATGCGCTTCTACCTCAGTAAGTCCACCTGACACAAAATTGAAACTCTCGTACAAAAACCGCAGACATTTGAAGGAATTTTATAAACTTCCCCAGACAAAGCCAGACAAGCCTGGACAGCCCCCCAAAAAGAGGACATGTCCGGGTAAAAGAGGACGTATAGTTACCCTATATGAATGACTGTCTCTTGGCCCCCTGAGTGCGTGGACCACAGCACATTGCACAGACTGCGCCACCTACAGTTACACCACAAATCACCACACCTCATAACAACATCTAACCATCTTTCTGATCAGCTTTGGCAACCTAACTGACAAAGATATGTCTTTGAGTTAAAGTTAAACATTCTTATAAGCTACAGATCAATTCGTTTGACCTCATCCCTCTACATTCTGATAAAAAGTTGGCTTGTACAAAGAAAAGTAGTTTAAAAGATGAAGATTTGTATTCCACAGCAATTGCAAGCCTTGGCAAGAGCCAGTCGGTGATGTTCCCCATGGAGTTGCAGTTTTCATCCCAGAAAAAAAAGAACACTGATAATGTCCAAAGGAGTCTTCAGAATCAGTACAATGAAGGGATACAAAGAAAGGAGTTCCTTAATATTGGTGTCTATTTTTTTTTAGACCTAATTTCAGCCGTCTAGATTCTGTGTATTTTTAGACAGAATTTAGACGTTGCACTTTAACCCATTATTTAATAACTATTATTTCAAAAAGCAACTGTGAGTTGCATAAATAATCTCCATGTTTTTAACCAAAATAGTTATGATAGCCATTGAGCAATATACAAAGTAGTATAGATAAAGCCCAGATTTAGACTTGGTCTAAATTTAGACGTCTAACTTTCATTTTTAGACCTGTGGTAGCCTGATTTTAGACCAGTCGTCTAGCCTACATTTGGACGTCTATTAGACCTCTTTTAGGCCAATAAAATGTTCAGTGAGAAATGGCAACATGTCATGTGGGACCATGAGAGATAAGGCTTATCAATGCACATCGTCAAACACCCTCCTGACAAACTATGAGCACATTTTGGAAGGTGAAGCAACATAATTTGAATGTTATTTGTTGTCTCACACATTCATGTTAGAAAATTCTGGCACAAAGAAATCAGATCATTTTTGTCCAAATGAATAATAAACACACAAACACACACACAAACACACACCACTCTTTGTCTCACACACATAACTGCAAGTGGAGAGCATGTCATATGGGAGAAAGAGCAGTAGCCGTGTCTCACTGGTACAAAAATCAATCCAAGAAGAAAAACAAAAAAAAAGCAATACGTCTGACAGGAGTTAAGTTTCTCAGAATCCCTGCAGGGCAGAGAGTCCACAGAGTTCTTTTAAACATTAGCTGTTTAATTTAAGTGTGGGTCCAGTGAGCTGCAGGAGAATTACTGTTCGTCTCTGGGTCTCTATGCGGCAGCCAGAAGCATCAGGTCAGCACAACACTGCAGCCAATGTAGAGACAGAGATAGATGGATTGAATACCTCTGAACCAAACAGCCAACATAGTGTGGAGCATGTTTCCCCCTATGTGCAACTTAAGCTGCTTAGCTAAACAAATCTGATGGATCAAAAAAACTCCTCCTTTTTTATACTTTCCTCGTTGTGTTTCACTGGCTTCAATTTGAGAACAATTGAAACACATGGCATGTTAGTAATCAGTTTGACTACTCTGGCACCTTCTAAATAGTGAAAGTAGAACTGGCAGAGCAACCATATGCTTCATGCCAGATCCTCTTAGTTGTATGAACACAACTAGACGCGCACACACAATTATTTAGGGGAATATGATTAATTTTTGAATGTGATCTGCCTTCAATTGAAGCCAAATCTATGCATAAAAAAGCTTCCTTTTCTTTGCCATTTAATGCAAAAATAAACTCTAAGAAAACTGAGTAGATATGAAAGTGAGTTTCAAGTGTTCAGCGGTTACAACCTTACAAATCAGATTTTTATCTTTCCTCTCTGGCATGAAGTTCCTGGACAAGAAGAGAATATGTTCCTTGTTAAATGGAACGATTTCTCCTCTTTAAGCTAAATGCACGAAGAATAATTCATGAGACACACTTTTATAGAACCTGCCTTGGCATGTTATTCATTGGCCACATGGTGTCATTGTGTCGGGATGATAAAGTGACTGAAAGCCGCGAAAAGGACATGCAGGAATTCCTTTGAAGTGCACAGCTGTGCTCATATCGCTTGTGTATGAAGTATAATGAGGGACCTCCTTGTCACTGTCACCTGTG